TGATGGTGCATTATTGCTGATTTTTTTTATATATTAGTATGCCAATGGTCATCGATTTTTTTATCTTTTAATTATTATGTAGTTAATACTCCTGAGCAAAATATGTATTCAAAATAATTCAGTATAAAGGTTGTCTTTCTTCCCATGCAATTTTATAACATGGTCTCGTCATTTTTTATTTTAAAGGTAAATTTTGGAGGTTTTTATTGACAATCTCGATTTTGTTATTAATAGTTTCATTTTTAAAATATTGAATGTGTCATGTAAATAGATATAGATATCCCTAACTAAATCAAGTTAATTAATTTTATAATTAAAGATATAAATTAAAAAAATTAAATTTTAGAAGGCTAAAACTAAAAATTTGGCATTCGTCCCTTTGCCTTTTAGAAAAAAAAATCTTAAAATAAAAAACTTTTATTAGGAATTTGTCCTTTATATTTTATTCGGGATTAAGATTCTCGGATAGACGCCGTTATTCTGAGCCAATCGGACAGCTTCAGCTTCTCATCGGCAAATCCCCGTGCTGTGGCTCATTTCGTGTATTCTTCTGGACTCGGAAGGCTTGCCAAGCAGTGGGGACCACGTCTCGTATGACGTGGCATAAATTCGTTACCGGTATCATTTGAGGTGAAATCGCGGTCTCCTTGATGAAACCTGACGACCTTCCTCTCTCTTATCTGGACCCGCCGTTGCCCGGAGGCGAGCGGCAGAGAGAGCGAGAGAGAGAGAGCGAGCGAGAGAGACGGTAGTGAAGGCAAAGCAAACACAGTCGTACTCTTGGCGCTTATGATGCATGCGGCGGCGATGGTTCTCTCGATCCCTTCCAGCAGCAGCAGCTGCTGCCACTCGAACTGCCTCCTCTCTTGGCAACTTGCAAACACGAAACCACTCCTTCACCTCTGTAGGAAGCCATCGACGGCAGTCCGTGCAGAGCTGCAGACCTCGGAGCCGACGGCAGCGACCGCTTCATCATCTTCCTCTTCTATTCCGACGCACCGCGTCACAGTTCATGACCGTCAGCGGGGTGTCGTCCATGAGTTCCTCGTCCCGGAGGTAAGCGGACGTTTCCTCGACCCGTTTGTCGAAGAACCTCTTGCGTGTCTGCACATCTATCATGTGTTTGCTTATTTGTTTTGACTGCAGGACCAATACATACTACACACCGCGGAGTCTCAGAACATATCCCTGCCCTTCGCTTGCAGGCATGGTATGCAATTCTATAGCCTTCCCACCCCCAATCTTTTACTGCTACATTTATGTGAGCAACGAGGGCTTTACCATCTGCCATGTCTTTTTTTGCCTTGTACCTGTTCGACGAAATGGGTGATCACAATGTGCGTTTACTCGATCGGTTGCGTTCGCCTCGAGTTGCCATCCTAATATAAAATTTTGATGCGTGAACAAAAAGGCATTATAACTAACTTTTGGGGACGAGTGTGAATTGTCAGCTGTGATCCAACAAGGCTTCGTGCTCTTGCGTTCAGTGAGCTAATCGTACATGATCTTTGGTATTACCATCCTCTGCTTTTACCATGTTAGACGGCAAGTCTCGTGGATACTCATACATGAACTTTGTAAGAAACAAGGTAGGATGGTGATGGATGGGGGTTGCATGCACTGGCAATCAGCTAGGATTTCTTTCGAATGCATCAGAAGGTAATGATGGCTCCTGATCGAATTATGCTGCTGTTCAGGTTGCTGCACCAGCTGTGCTGTTCGAGTAAAATCTGGACAAATCAGACAACCTGAGGCTCTCGGAATATCTGCAGAACTGAAAGCTAAGGTTGGACGCCTTTTATGTTTGTCTTGTGGTTTTTCACAAAATGGTTGTATATCTTACTTAACATTATTGCATGTGCTTCGTTTAATCATATACTCATTTAATGAGATATGTAGCATTGATGCATTAGATTGCTACTAGTATTGAGATTGCAAAATGGCCTTCCAGTTTGGTACCGAAAATTGTCCTACGTCAAGCTATACAAGAACAACACTCGTTTCATAAGACATGATTCTGTGGGTTACACTACACATTGGATATTATAGCTGTTGTGCTTTTCTTGTTCGAGGGGTTCATTTACGTCGTCATCTTACACTATGTGACAAATTCTTGTAGGTTATAGCTGTAGGTGCTATGTTACGGTTTAATTATTTGACTCATACTTGTCGCAATTAGATATCCAGAGGATGCATTAAAGACCTCTTAGTCTCATACTGTTCTTTCAGGGTTATGCATTACTATTCGACTCATACTTGTCGCAATTAGATATCCAGAGGATGCATTAAAGACCTCTTAATCTCATACTGTTCTTTCAGGGTTATGCATTACTATGTGTGGGTTTCCCATCTTCTGATATTGAAGTTGAAACACAAGATGAGGATGAGGTATTACATTTTGATTGACATTCGGAAACCATGAAACCACTGTTAGATTGAGTATTCTCTTTTCAGATACACTGATGTTATGATACATCCACCGACTTTAATCACCTTTTCAGGTATATTGGCTCCAATTCGGACGATATTTTGCACGAGGGCCAATCGTAAGTTTTCTGAGCCTCACAAGATGTTAGTGGATTAAGTAGAAGTTTTGGTTATCAGATTCTAGAAGCATATACGATGGGGCCAAGCGAGTATTACTACCACCACAACAATTTACCAGGAGTTATTCTCACTCCAGATTGAAGATTCAAGTCCACTTATAATTTGATGCCACCCATATTGTGTAATAGCCAGTCTATGTTAGTTAATTGCCTAGTAATTACATACAAATATTGTGCTAGGTCTCCATTTTGATGCTCCATCACATTTTGTGAGAACATAGCAAGTTTTACTTTCTTTTTTTAAGGGAGATGACCTTACTTCTCTGTTAACCTGTTATTGCCTCAACTGCAGGAAAGGGATGACTATGCACTGGAGCTAGCCATGGGTGATGAGTGATCGATACCTGATAGACGAACTCAAACATTCTAGCCTTCAATCGATCCTGAGCCGATTTCATATCAAGGCCATCACTCTTTCTTTATGACCTAACTAATGTATATTGTACAAGTACTTGGAATTATAATATTGTTTGTATGCTACCACTACGATAAAATTTGTGTTAGAGAGTAGGATGTGTTTGTCATCAGATCCTTATGGGGGTTCCTTTAGGAACCAAGTTATGGAACAGCGAGTACGATGATCCATCCATCTCATTCAGGTTATTCTCTAAACTAAATTAATTTCCCTCTGCTATCACATTAAGATATATGGGTTGTTGGCTGCACCTCGCACGCTTAATATTTCATGTATGGCAGATAGAGGTGGATTTAAGAGCAACATCAACAACTAGATGATCAGTAATACCTCAGATTCTTTGGATGACAGACATTATTTTGTGCTTATATACATGTCTAATCCACTGTTATAGGCTCAATCGATTACTTGTTTCTTGGTGTTTCACTGCAGAAATAGGGTTATCCTTTCAGAGCAAAATATAAAGTGGTTATCATTCTGGTGGACCAGAAGGAAGAGGATTGTGTGGCTGGCTCTACATCTGTCCAAATAGACAGACATCAATAATTGAGGAAGACAACCAGCATCTCGACACGCTGTCATGGATTAACGAGTGATCGGATCGGGCATCGGTCTCGCGTGGAGACCGATTCGCAAATCGGCTTCCAGCGAAAGACGAGCAGGAAACAAACAGAGATGCTCGGCCATTCGATCTACGCAGTCAACATGACAACTCTTTAAAAAGAAGAAGAAGAAGAAGAAGAGGGATTTGAATCGGGGGCTTATCTGAGATGGACATTGCATTCCTTGCAGTAGAAATCGTTCCTCTCGATGAGAGACCTCAAGAGGAGGTTGTGATTGGAGGGCTTCTTGGGCGCCTTGGGATCACCGCGGGGGTTCGCTCTGATGGGTGGAAGGAGGCAGCAGCCCTTGGCGGAAGTGAAGGAGGCGTCAAACGAGAAAGACTGGGCAAGGTGGGGAGGAGGGTTCGCAGGCCAGCTTCTTTGCTTATGCTCTTCCTCGATCCGATTCTTATTCTTCTTCTCCTCCTCCTCCTTCTTCTCCTTCTGCTGCTTCTTTGGGTTCTGACCATCGAGCAGCTGCTTTGCCTTTTTCTTGATCGCTTTCATGGCTCCTCCTCGTCCTCCTCCTCCTCCTCCATCGTGCACGATGTTTCCGAGCAGCTCTTCACTGAGCTCAACAATATCATCTCCACATCCTTCGTCTTGTTTGGGATTTCTCTTGCGAAGGGACATGCAGGAGAGCTTCAGAGACAGATCAAGGGCACGATGTCACCGCGGCGTTGGATCTTGAAACGGAATCGCCGGGTTGGCAGGAGAACCCAGGAGGAGGTCTGGAGGGAAGAAGATGGAGGAGGAGGAGGTATGAGACGCGTGCGGGGCGAAGCGTTCGTAGGAGATCTGATCTCATTCGTCGCGACCGCGTGGCGTCGTCTCCGCACCCACTGCGCGTACCAATCGTGTGGGTGGTGATAGTTGCTTGCCCTGATGAGTTTGACTGTCCCCGGATCCATCTGGAATCACGTTGGCTCCGGATCCGGTCCAAATTAGCGTAGAAGCCCTGTAACCGCCAGCTTACGTAATCTTCCATACCTGCCGCTTCCCAGAATTCCCAGAATTCCAACCACTGCACCACAGCGAGGCCAGTGCAACTCGATGTCCTCGCCGTAGCATCTTCAACACGCACGTTGCTACCAAACATGGCTATCATCTTCGGAAACTCGAATTGTTAGAACAACGGATTACAAGTTTTCTACTAATAAAAGTTAATACCGGGCATCACGCATTGCAATTTCCTCAAATAGGCACCACCGAAACTAAAAGTTGCATCATATTCTTCTGGTACTAAAAACTACAAAAGAGCATTAGAGTAAGAAGATGATGTAGGAAACCCATCCATCCATCCAATGTATACTTGCCGATCTGAGTTCTCTACCTTTGCCACATGCCAAAATTGCCTTGCTTGCCTTTTCCTTTTTTTTTTTTTGGGATTTTCTCCTTCTACAACGGAGGGACGATGGGAAGGAAAGAATCTTCTCTCGGATGGGGCAGGGTGGGACTTCGAGGGTCACACCGGCCTCCCAGCCGATGAGGCGGCAAAGGCTGAGAAGCAATCTTCTCCCCTTTTCTCGTGCACACTGGCGCAGTAAGCTGCAGCTTACTACTGCAGCTTATGGTCAAAATCACGTTCTTCACACCAACAACTCGATCCCCCATCGACAGCTTATGCCAATTATGCCTACAAATACGTGTACCTGTGGGCCCGCCCATAACGGGGCAGGGATGAGGAAAAATAAACATGGATAGGGGGCATTTTATATTGCCCGTGCAATTATGGGGTTGGGGACGGGTCGATCACTCCCCACCTCGTCCCCGCCCTACTTATATTATTATATGATATACATGAATATTATTATTCGACTAAAGTGTTACTAAACAAGTACCACCACTAGTTCATCTTTCCTATGACAAGGGCTGCATCTAGTCAAAAAAAAAAAAAAAACTTGTTAGAAACAAAGGAAAAGCAAGAAATAAAAGAACTGTTCTTTTAAAAGGTGTTAAAGAGATTCAAAAGTTACATAATCAGAAAGTCTAGATACTAAAAATAGAAGCTAATTTCTAGAAGCATAAACATATTTATGTTAAAGCAACATGGAAAACACATGTCGTAAGATAACGGAGGCGTGGTTCTTACCAAGGTTAATAGTAGCCAGACGTGAGACAAATTCTGGTGATAGTGGGTGAAGCTGTGGAACATCGAGTTTACTCAAGTCCTGCTCCATCAATCCTTTACGAGACATTTTTTTATGCACACAATTAACTTTCTCTTAAGACACCTGAAAACATTAAAACAGGTTATTTCATTTCCTAGTGATCACATATCATACATACATGCTTGAAGATATAAAGTATACACAAACTTGGTCATTTTTTTTATTAAAAGCTGATAGCAAATCAGGCGGGCAAAGGGAAGAGGAGAAACCAAATATGATACTTTTGTTAATGTTTATGAACTTCTTCCAAAGCAAAACTAGCAATTTTTGTCACACCTCATATTAGTTAAACATTGGAAGTGGAGCAAATTTGAGTTAATTGATATGATTAAATGAGTCTACCATCATCAACTCAAGTATACATTTTGTATCGTATGCTTCTAGGCTCATCAAGTTAATTGATCAGTTATCCCATGGACCCAGAAAGGACTAGACATGGATGAAGATGGAGACACATTATAGTGTCGAGCCATGGTCTTCCTCATCAAACCTTAAGGGAGATTATGTCACTCCCTTGTCCCCTGTTGGAAGTAGAAGGAAATTTGAGTTGGTTTATAAAGCTAGATGAATCTATTACAACATTTTAGGCCATGTGGTTCCAGGCTCATCAAATTAACAGCTCAATTGATCCATCAGGTCAGATCATAACAAATCTATTTTAATAAGGGCCATATCAATAATTAGTTGCCAATTAGAAACTAGCACATCAGCAAGCAAGTGAAGAAAGGTTAACTTCAGGCTTTTCTACTACATTATATTCTAAAAGCAATAAGGACTCTTCCAGTATTATAGATATGCCAATTTGTAATGATCTGCGATGATCAAAATTCAAAAGGTCATGAAAAGAAGGCAAACTATATCTTGTCATTTTTAGAGGATAAATATAAACTATTGAAGTTTTCTTCGAGAAAAATAGATCCTCCAGTGTTATTCATTTGATGGATGCCTCAACTAAATAGAAAACAAAAAGAGATGAGTTATAGAGTGAAAAGTGTTGTGCTCTTTAAAGGGTTCAGATGAACAATTCAGTTACGATAACAATCAGAGCATAGAGATGGATCGGGGTGACACACGAAATGATAGAGTGACAAGTGTCTACCGAAAGCAGTCCTTGCCAATAAAGAGTCCTAAGGCCGATAAATGGTAAAGGATTGTAGTCTAGTCTAGTCCAGTATATCAAAGCCAAGTGAACTCAAACCTCATCCGAGTATAAAGACAGACGGGAATCCCTATTGCCCGATAAAAGATTGTTTAAGAAATGGTGGGCAAGTGAATAAATGAGGTTGAGGAGTCTTTTTGTGGCTAGCACATGATAAGTCTGTTAACTATTCTTTCTCAGCCGGTGCTAGTATGCCAAAAATGCATGTATGATGACCAATCTGAAATAGTATCTTGATGACAACATAATTCTAAGTTGACAAGGAGAGTGTTTGAACTTGAATAAACTAGATCTAGGAAAATTAATACTTTAGATGCAAGAAATCTGATACAAATTACAAGGAAAAAAGTTGGGGTGCTAGCAAGCGAAAACAGGAAAATAAAAAAGTTTGACTTGTTTCTGCATAAACTCAAGTTTGACTTGTCAAAGAGAGCAAGAGTACAGAAGCCATTTAAAATTTACAAACTCCAGACACTCTCTAGATTATTATCATAGTTTGTAATAGACTAACTAATTTAATTAATCGGCAGGTATTTCATCGGAATAATGGTCTAGTTTAAACTTTAACTCTGATAGAGTAGTTAGCCTAAGTTCAATTTGTGTTAAAAACACAGTTGAACCCTGGGCCTAAAAACTGAGTGAAACAATGGCACAGAAAGCATTTGTTGACTCCAAATTATAGTTGGACAATGGCAGATAAATTTTAGATATATCCATGGTTGATTTCCTAATTAGAACAGTAGCATATTAAGACTTTTCACTGGCTGGTAAATTTCGGATTAATTTGTACTGTTATTTTTTACTAGCTGTTTTAGAGAGAAAATAACTTTTTTGTTTAGATCTCTGTTGCCTAAAAGTTGAACATAGGTTAGTTATAGCTTAGTGATGAATGGAATCATAATGGATAATGCCAAAGAAACCACTAACCTGTACATTCGCTTTTCCTTGATGTGAAAACCAATGTAGGTTCTATGAAAAGGGTCAGCATTTGATTCTTATTTTCCCTGTTTGTCTACATTTGATTCTTAGACAAAACCATGGTCCTGCAGCCGAAAACCCATCCATCCATCTTATTTTCTTATGGTAGATTAATAAGAAATTGGCAGCTAAGAGTCGATTTATGCAAGTAGTATTTTGATTAGAACTCATCGTCATATAGGCAGAAACGGAGAGTCTCGCTACCACCGACGGTCATTTGGACGTTTGAGAGAGGATCATCGTAAAGAGAGAACAACAAATATCAATCAATATGACTATCGAAAAAACAACAACAACAAGAAGCATGAGTCGAGAATCAACAAGTATTCCGACGACCAAGAAGTAGGAAAAAGAAACAATCAAGAACATATGAGGGAGAATACCTTCAAAGACTGGGCGGGCGTGACGATCGGCAAGAATTCGCCGAAGAGAAGAGAGGGCGAGAAAAGGAAGAACAATCGCAGAGATTATTTTGATGATCAAAGTCGCTAAATCGAGATCTAACGGATACAGATGCGCTTCTCGAGGGGCGGCAACCCAAGCAAGCCCTGACACGAGTCAGGGGAGGGGGTGTGGTCTCCAACCAACAGATGGGCTGAGAGTTTTCGGCCCAACAATGGTTTCTGATTTGGTCCTCAAATTCTAAACGAAAAATTGCCCAGAATAATAATCTTTGAAACTTTATTTTTTTTTTTTATAAATAATCATCTTTGAAACTTGATAGATGATTTTTATTTGAAAAGAAACTATTTGGTCGATCGATCATTGATGTACTATGTAAACTCGTGACGAATAATTTCTCGTGAGTCTACGGCCGTATCAATGGTCGACCGATCAAATACTTCGACATGCATATATATTATCTAAAAAATTGAATAACAAACCTATTTCTAATGTCTATATCATAACAAGAAATCAAGAATAATAAATATATCTCTAACGTCCAAATCGAGAAACCGAGAATGATATAAAGTCGTAATCCCACTAGTTTGTCTGTGATACGAATAAAAGATCGATATTAAAAATATTATACAATTTAATCCATAATTAATATATCCCATACATAATCTAATAATTTCTTAATAATTTATAATGTTTAACTTTAAATAGGATATACTAATAATAATAATAATAATAATAATAATAAATAATAATAATCTAAATATGCAATGATGTCTAAATCAATATTCTCTTCTCTGTGGGTAGAGAATCACTCTTGTCTCGTTTAAATAGGATTATAGTCGGCATAATCCATGGTTACCGACAAACTCTTATTTGACATGACATGCAATGTTGCCAGCTAATTTAGTAGCCGACAAAGTCTTATGCAACTCAATTGGCCGAATTATAGTGGCTGGTAATTGTTTAGTGTTACTGTATAGTCTCTCCATCAAGCTTCTATTTTTCCACCAAACTCTTTTTTTCCTAATGTCTCTTTATTTAAAGATTTCTTAGTGCTAAAAAATTGTACTTAATATTTTTCTTAAATTGATTTGACCTAAGCGTTAATCTTTCCTAATGGCTTATTAAACAACACGGAATTAAACCTTACTTTGACGTGTATCGGATGACTCGAGGAAGATATGTAATAAAGCGACATGGGTATTAGGTGGCAAAAGCCCACCAAGAACCTTTTGACGCGCCCAAACCTCCCCTGCATGCTCGTCTAACCAAACTCTACTCAACCCGAGAAGAAAGAGACCGAGCGCGAGTCGCCGGTCGGCTACGTTCACAGCACGTCACCACGCGCGCTCCACCTACCCCTCACTCTCTCTCTCTCTCGACCTACCACCCCTAGGTAGCAGGAGAGAGAGAGACGATGGAGGAGGTGCTTATAAATGGAAGTCCGGCCGCCCGGCGTTGTGGCGAGAGATCGACGCGATCTCTGCGCACCACGACGCCTGAGGAGGAAGAGGCAGTGCCGCTGCAACCTCTCTTCGACATCTTCTTCTTCAGTCTCTTCCTGTATCCGCCGGGTATCGTCGTATGGCGCTTACAGTACCTCATTACGTAGATGCAGGACGTCCCGCTGCTGCTGCAGCTGTTGCTATTGCCAGCGTTATTAGCAGAAAGAGAGGATCGTTTACTCGTACTATCGTCGTCAGAGCTTCAGCCAACTTCAAGCAAAACAAGCAGCAGCACGAACAACAGATACGGCAGGGAAGGAGTCAAGATGTACGCAGCCCTTGTCCCTCCTCGCCTCTGAGAACGGCCGACGAGGTGGCTTCAGACTTCGGCCGCGAGATCGCCTTAGCCAACCTCGAGCGCCTGTTCCGGCAGCAGGCCGCAGGGGGTGACCGCCCGCCCGCCAACGGCGGATCTTCCGACCGCCCTGTCCGCGTGGCCTACCAGGGCTCCCGCGGCTCCTACTGCCAGGAGGCCACCGCCAGGGCCTTCCCTTCCTCTTCTGCCTGCGAGGTCTTCCCCTGTGTCCACATGGAGGAGGCCTTCGCCGTCCTCGAGGACCGCTCCGCCGACCGGGCCGTGGTGCCCGCGGAGAACTCCCTCGACGGGCCCATCGACCGCAACCTCGATCTCCTCCTCCGCCACCAGGGCATCCGCATCCTGGCTGAGCTCGTCCTCCCGGTCAACCACTGCCTGCTCTCCCTCCCTGGAGCGCCCAGGTCCAGCCTCCGCCGTATCATCAGCCATCCGCAGGCCCTGTCCCACTGCCGCCGAAACCTGGAAGCCCTCGACCTGGAGGTCGACGAGGCCTGGTGCGCCGCTGACGCCGCCCGCTTCGTGGCGGAGAACCGGGTGGCAGACACCGCGGTCATCGGGAGCCAGATGGCCGCCCGGGAGTTCGGCCTACGGATCCTCGCGTCCAACTTCCAGGATCACCACCAGGGCGGCAACTTCAACCGCTTCCTTCAGCTCGGGCTATCTGCAAGCCAAACCCAGGGGTTTGCCGGAGGAGGAGCGGCACGCAAGACCACCGTGGCCTTCTCCCTGGAGGGAGGGGCGTCGGACCTGTTCCGGGCGATGTGGATCTTCGAGAGTCGGGGCGTGAAGGTGACGCGCGTCGACCACCGACCCAACCGTGCGAAGCCGCTCCGGGTGGTGGATAGAGGCATCGACGGGCTGGGGAAGGCGACCTACCTGGACTACGTCTTCGTCTTGGACGTCGAAGGCAGCTTGTTGGACCCCGGCGTCGAGGCCGCGCTCGCACGGTTGGAGGAGATCGCCCCCTTCGCACGTGTGCTGGGCAGCTACACGTCCACGTGCCACTCGCACTGACGCTAAATCCCAGCCGAAGGATCAATTAGTTGCCGTATGTATAATGTATACCATATACGTATGTAGGCATGTAAAAGGGCTGCGCCGATGACGATGGCTTTGGCAATAATGCCAAAGGAAGAAAAAAAAATTAAAATAAAGCCTTTTTATTTATATTTGTTTTACATTTTTTGTGCAATGTTATTGGAAGTGGTAAATACATTGGAAGTGGAAGAAATATAGGTGGTGGGTGAGATGCTTAATAATAATAATAATAATAATAATAATACTAAAGTAAAATGTGCCAAAAATTAAAGGAAAATATACTCTTGCAAGCAACCTAGTCAGATAAAGAAGACAAAGTGAAATTATTATTATTTTTAATGTAAATGGTAAATGAAGAATGGACAGAATTCTACACCAATAAATGTTATGATCAATAAAAACAATGGACAAAATGGATTTGATATAATTAGGACAACTACCACTGCCAACAACCGTCTAATTAGGTAATCAACAATGACACCAAACAACAAAAGCTGAGCAAAAAGGTCAAACCTCATTGCAGACTTAAAATTATAATTCTAAATCAAATTATGACATCATAAAACTTACTTGCAAGCAGACATTCTTAACATCAAAACTAAGTTACCTGTGAACATACTTTTAACTTCCCAAATAGTTGAATTATTATCGATAATTATAAATATGACTTCTAACATTGCTACAATGATTGCCCTTAGTCTAATCGTCAACTTTCATTATCATCGCCATAGCCACGAGTTAATAGTCAACTTCCACCATTGTCGCCATTGAGTTTTAGTAAATATACGATACATTGATTGTTCCAACAATGCTTGCATTCAAATTTAGATTCATCCAGCTCTGAGCCATACTAACTACTGTCTACTAAACCAACTGTAAACCGATCCAACATTGAACTCTGATTGAATCAACGGTCCAAAAATCACTGTTTTGAGTCGAAATATAGTAACTTAGTTGTAAGGGATAAAAAGGTAAAGTTATATATATATATATATATATATATATATATATATATATGAAACACGGCGTGGTGGAGGTCTTCGACGTGGCCGGTGAGGAGAAGTGACTTGGAACGTTAAGGAGACAGCGACACGGAGGAGGAGAAACAGGGCAGAATTGGCAGGGAATCCGTTGTGAGCGGAGTTGGCGGAGGGCAATGCACGGTTCCGATAAGGGGAGAGGAGGAGGAGAGAAAGAAAGAGAGGGAGAGAAAGAGACGGCAATTGGATTAGGTGGAGACTCGAAGAAGAACAACAGGGTTCTCGCAATGCTCTCCGGAATTATCTGCTTGACACGAAGGTAATATTGTCGTCGCGGCGATCGCCAGGAAGGAGGAGACCGTAATTGGAGTTTGCTTTTGACGGGCGGGGCCCCTCCACATTCCCGCGTGATAAAACGGTGGTTTCCCCGCCTTTCCATCACCTCCCCTTCTTCGTCTTCGCGCATCGACGTATTGCAGCATCCATCAAAGGCAAAAAGACAGATTGGTTCTTTTGCTCCTTCGGATATTGCCCGAATGATGGGTCAGTGGCCACACGGATTCCTTTTTCGATTATAGATAAGAGAACATTGATGAAGCTTGGGGAATTCGACGCTGAAACCTGTGCAATTCCCTTGGCTTCCTTGAAGTCGGAAGCAGAGCCAGCCAGCCAGCATCGGCTTTGTGTTACAGGTTCCACATCAAAAACATCTTCATTTGCTCCAATAAAGTTTCGACTTCTAGCCCTAATTAGCAGGGTTTTTTTAATTTATTTATTGGACATGTTCTTTGGTGCTAATATCTGAACTAAGTAACCTTTGTGAAATTTTACAGTTCGATTCCCAGGTCGCATTTGATTGTTTCTCCTCTTTCTGTTTTCTTTGCGTTGTTTGATTAATCTTGGCATCAGTACTGTTCTCCCAAATGTTGCGCTGTTCTGGCCGTTTCCTGTAGATGTCACTCCAAATCAGCCCAATGAATCTTGCTTCTCATTTATCAAATTTATCTAAAGAGATTATGATTCTGGCTATGATTGCATAAAACCTAATTAGACATGTTTCACTTGCCAGTGGTCTTTCTGAAACTCTGATGGTTGTTGGTCAATGGCAGCATGAATTAATGTGTGAGTCATCTATGAGGTTGCCTTGGTTGTTATATGTGATATCAAAACCTGCAAACTAATTCAGTGTTTAAAGTAATAGGAAGTGAACAGCATATTCTTTAAGGTAAGGTTGCTTTTGCAACCTGGGTGACTGGAATTTGACCCTCCTACGACCTCTCTGAGTAATTACTTTGATCCTTCTTAGACTCGGCATGGTTGGAATCCTCATCTATATGCTCTACCATTAAAACTTTGGTTAGATATCTTTAGGGTTATGTGTTCTCTGTATCATTTTGAAGTATATTGTAGCACTCGCACACTGTTTTGTGTCGAGTGACTTGTGACTTGGTCTGGAGGCAAGCTTGATCATTTGTTATGTGGATTCCCTTGACTGCAATCATCTACTCCTAATCCTAAGAAGGTTGGTCCTTGTGTAGATACTTTTTGGTGGAACAGAACTTTTATAGAGTCTCCAGTAAGTGGTTCTTTGATGTTATTGACCATCTACTTTAGATATTTTTATTTATATATTTAGGAAATGTATTAATTTATTCAGACTTTTAGTTGGCTTTGATTAAAGTCTTTCTTTTGGCCTAACTTTGCGCTGGGGCTAATAGTCATCTCGATCCTTGAGGCTTTAAATATTAGGTCCTAGAGATAGATATGATCTTTTCTTGACATCATCTTTTCCTTAATATTGCAATGTCATAAAAAAATGCTTCAAGAAGGAAAGATGGGTACCCAATAAAGTTAATATTAGAAATTTGTTGTAGAAAATAAAAGAAGAAAAAAATAAAAATATTTATTAGGACTAGATGATAGAATTTTAAAGATAATAATATACGGATTTTCAAAAATGGGATAAAAATAGAGTTGGCTTAGAACTTAGACGACGATCATATTAATATTATTTGGACTTTAATGGTAGAACTATGAAAGTTTGTCTAGAGAGTTTTATTATAAAAAAGTCTCTATCTTTTCATATTAATAACAGATGAATTTACTCTTTCATAGGGATATAAATATCCCTAGTGTATGTTATTGCTGATGATATTATCCTAGTTGATGAGAGTTTAAATTTGAATCAGATATTTAATCCTTAAAAAATTATGGTTTTAGTTTAAGTAGGACTAAAACTAAATACATAAGATGTAATTTTAGTAATACTAGGAATAAAGATATAATTAAGCTAGATGGGCAAGTAAGTTTATTAATTAAAAGGTTTAAGTATGATGAGTCAATTATTCAACAAGATGAATAGATTTATGAAGATATTATATATATAGTAAATATAAGATGTTGGAAATAGCAAGAGGCATCAGGAGTCTTATGTGATCATCGAGCACTTTTGAGGTCAAAATATTTATAAAATAGTTGCTAGATTAATAATACTTCATAGATCTAATATGAGTGTTGTTTGGTAGACGATAGTTAAAAATATCACATACAAAAAGTTTGTATTGGTGAGACGAAAATGTTTAGATAAATATATGAAGTTACTATAAAAGAGGAAAAACTTATTTTCATTTATGAATAATTAGGTATCACTTTAATAGAGGATGAAATGAGTCTAAATCATTTAAGATGATACAAATATTTAAGATGGTATATGTACTTAGAGACCTATAGCTTAGAAGAGGTAAAATAATTATTATCAGTGGTATGAGGAAAGATAGAAGAAGACATAGAAGGACCTTAATGGAAACTATATAAACAAAATTTTAAATATTTTAAACATAACTAAATAAATAAATATTTAAATAACTCTTTATAGTTCTCAATGATGATAAAGGATCCAAATAGTCAGAACTTTATGACTATATTCTTTAAGAAATTTCCTGATTCAAAAAATTGCACTTATATAATTACAATATTTCGTAAATCTATCTATAATAGTTTCTTCTGATTTGAGTACCTAATGGGCTATACAAGTGTTTCAACATGATATGAAATGTCAAGGATAAGACGGTATTTGATGCTAAAAGTATTTCGCTAGCGTAGATAAGAGATTAGACAACATTTAATGCTACAAGAAAGTATTTGCATAAGGTGTAGATTTTTAGATACAACAATCTGTCATCCAATCTAGCTAATTTTTTCGTCGTTGCAGGTGATGCTATGGTTGGAAACCGATCATGGTTTGGAGGAGTCCTTTACCGCATTGGCAACAAACGTCAAAGTAGTAATGAAAAGACAATTGATTTTACTTTGACCCCTCTTCAGGTAATTTTTTTTTACAATAAAATAGTTAATGTTTATTGTTGACATATTTCTCCTCTTGCTTAACATAAATTATACATGACCATGATTAACTGCTTTGATTTGGTAACTTTTGTATGCTTTCAACTTAAGTTTAATAATATAATTCTCTAACTGTATCAACAAGTATAGGATGTTAAGTTTCTTGTGATAAATAAAGTTATAGAAATCAAAATATATATTGGATCACTTTTTGTAAGAAATGAAATTTACCTGTTTACATGTATAACTCAACAAGCAGATATGAAAGTTTCAGCAGAGAAACCTATTATGTTAAAGACAGTTTTCAGAGAACATACAATTGTTAGAACATAATTTTCATGTAAAACAACAGGCATCCGTTGATGCTACTGCTATAACCTTTTGATAATTATTAGGACTTGCTCAAGCTTTAGGAATCAAACCCAAGTTGGTGAAAAACTACCAACTGCAAGCCCTGAGTATGCAGTGTTGTTGCACATTGGAAAAAGCAAGAAACCTGAAGACTGCTGTTACGTAAGGAGAAACAATTGTTTGATATGCTTCTTGGTGTTTTACGTGACCATAGTTTTCAAAAATGAGGTTGAATCACCACTAAATTCCAAATAGAAAGATATTAGAATTATTCCAAGTCAAACCCTATTAATTCAATCTTGTATCGGGTTTCAGACAATTGTCACCCATAATCCTATTAATCTAAAAGACTCATAGATACATATCAATCAAGATAGTTGTACACCGGTTCTAGTTAAAGCTACATCCTATAGTAACCTATAAATAAAAGACAGCTTAAATTGATTCTGGAAATTACAAGAAAACAGAAAGGTTAGTACTAAATTATTAAATTCTTATTCAATCTGCAAGAGTTTTATCAACTGACAAGAGTCGCTTTCTTGCTTTATGGTGCTTGATATACAGTAATGTTTTGTTGTTCGTGGGTGTTGCATTCGTAAATAAATTACAACATGAAAGATAAAACTGGCTAAATATAGTTAAGGATTTCTACCACCAGCCTTTTGTTATATGGCTTAGAGTCTGTGTTGATACATTAATAAAATGACGGATTTGTGGATGAAGCTTTCCCTCATCGAGGGGTTGTTGGTGCATGGGTTGGGGTTGCAAATTATTTGTAGTGAATCATATCCCATCGAAGATGGACTTGATTTTACTTATTGTTTGCCAATTATCTTTATGTGCCCATAGTCACGTTCACATCTTTTTCTAGTTGGTGCTTGACATAAATTTACTAAATTTTTGCAGGAAGCACGATTACAAAAGCTTAAGGAGCGTTTGAATATACCATTTGATGAGGCGCGACCAGATCATCAGGTTAGTGTAACCCATTCAGGTCCATGATATTGATATCATATTCTTTTGCTTAAAATGCCACTTGCAAGAGAGAACATTAAAATGTCTGGCACTTTGTAGAAGCTCATTGCTCATTCCTTGAGAGATTTGTGGATCTTCCTAATATGGTGCCGAATTTTTTGTTTATGTATATCCCTCGCTCTTCTTTTGGCAAAATTACTGGCAAGAGTAACTTAAGACAAGCAGTAAATCTCCATGTACTTCTGTTAGGCTTCAAGCATAATGAGCGATTAAGTGTTTGTTGTTCTTTCTTGTTTCCATTCAAACAATATGGTTTACTGTTAAGTATAAATTTGTTAGGAACAGTCAAGTTGATCTAAGTGCTTAAATTTTGTGCCACTAGGAAGCTCTCAGAGCTCTTTGGCATGCGTCCTTCCCAAGAACAGAACTCACAGGTCTCGTATCGGAGCAATGGAAAGACATGGGGTGGCAAGGACCAAACCCATCGACTGATTTCAGGTAATCTAGTAGGCATGCTTGTTTCTTCTTTTTCTTAGTCTCTTGCAGATTATGTTTCTTTTACATACTATATTTTCTTAACATTGTAATAATTCGCTTGATTGAATTTGTGCCACTGTGTCCATTAGGTGCTGCATAAACTATTGTCAAGAGCCTCTTGGAAATGGTTTGATTCTGTAGCACTAGATAATGGTATCCACAATTTTCTAAATCAGGGTTTATAAATATGGATATGTGCATCGAAATCCAATTGTGTGAATCGGCATGACAAAAAAGGTGTATAATATGCAACTTCTTGTGCCATAGGCACTAACTAACTTTAAGCCATTATAGTCTACCATTGAAACAGGAGCAAAATGGGTATGAATTCTAGATCAACTTGGTCTTCCATTTTTGTCAAGAACATGTCCATAAAGAATGGTCAAAATATTAGCTAAGAGTCCTTGCCATAGCACCCAGAACAACAATTTAGTATCTCTTCTGGTTTGTTGTCCTATAGTAATGAGGGTTTTTGTTCATCAGTTGTTAAATAGGAATATTGTGTAAGATCGGGGTGTTGGCATTGTTAGTTATCATGCTGGTCAGTGTTGACCTATGTTTTCGATTGTTAATTATATCTGGATTTCACATCCTTTTAGCTAATATATCCTTTGATATCAATTAAATAAGCAGCAACCACATAATTATGAGTTATAAAGGATAATAGTCATTTTTTTCCCATTCTTTTGCAGGGGTTGTGGATTTGTTTCGCTTGAGAATCTATTATTTTTTGTGAGGACTTATCCGGTAGGCTAACTGAACCGCCTTCTTTCTATACTATATGATTCTTTTTGTAGAAACAAAGAATCTGAAAAAGATGAGTTAGTTTAATATTATATTAATTTGTTATCATAGAAGCCAAGGATGGATTTTCTTGCCCTGGCTTCGGGTGTGTGCCAATAGCATGCCTGGTTGCATTACTGCTATGAATGATGAAAGACTAATTTTCTCATTGATTTCAATCTGAAGGCTTCTTTCCGAAGGTTACTATTCAAACAAGAAGGAAATAGAGCCACATGGGAATACCCATTTGCTGTCGCAGGTGTCAACATCTCATTCATGTTGACTCAGATGCTAGAATTGCATTCAGGTTAGTTAATAAGCATGCAGTATCATTTTTAAGAAACGAACGAGGGTATCATATTTTCTTCTCACTAGGATTTACCAGGTTATAACACTACTACTACTGAAAACAAAGGAGAATACAACTACTGACTGCATGGTGTTTATGTTCTTCCCTCTGCTGTCTTTGACGGAGTAATTCAGATATCTAATATTTTTCTCCTTCCGCAGCAAGACCCAAATCTGTGCCGGCGATCAATTTTTTGAAAGTTCTTTCAGGTGATACACAATTTCACTGTGCCAAATGCTTAACCAAACCCTCCTTTTCCTTTTTTTTTTTTTTTGTCTTTGCTTATATTTATTCTCCTGCTCACAGAAGACGAGGAAGCATTTGACGTTTTATACTGCATAGCGTTTCAGATGATGGATGCTCAGTGGCTTGCAATGGGTGCTTCATATATGCAATTCAAAGTATAAAACTCACTACACTACAAATTCATCAAACTTTTTTGTCTCTCTATCGTCTGACATAGCTATCTTCTATGCCTTCTCTTGATGGCCTACTACAGCAAGTGTTGGAAGCAACAAGGATCCAACTAGAGAGGGAGCTGTCTTTAGACGACATTCACCGAATCCAAGATCTACCTGCTTACAACCTTTTGTACAAATAGGCTCCATCTAATTCCAGTTGTAAAAGTTGTTTTCCTAAGGAATTCTTGTACAGTTACAGTTTATCTGGCAGAGACCTTTTTCTCGAGATATAATAAGTGAGTCCATGATATATATATATATTTATATATATTAATTATGATATAATAAAGATAACAACTCAACAAATTAATACATCATCTCAATCAGCTATGATATATATATTTATATTTTTCGAAACAGAGCACTTTCAAAAAGAAAAAAAAGGGTTCCCTTAACATGTGTTCTCTGATGTCTCTTTTGAGACAAATATAATAAAAATATATTTTAATTAGAAGAAAACACACATTCTTAGATCAAGAAAACATTTTTCCCTGGTCGCAGCCGGTGAGCGGGAAGTCCTTTTCCAACGAACCCCTACGTCTCTTGGCGATCAGTCCTTTTCCCCTTGCTGTGGACGACCGGACCAGACAAGGTCCCCCTGTTCCTCCTCCTCCTCCTCGCCACGCCGCCACCATCACCAGCACTCTGTTCCTTCCCCTCCCAACCGCCATTCTTGATCAATTGCCTGCGGTCCGTCCGCTCCCATCGAATCTGATTCTCGTCTACTGCTCGGATCTCGTTTGCACGGCTTGAATCCACCTCCCCAACTCGTTTCTTCTTCCTCTTGATGTTTCTTCTTTTGCCGCCGCTGCCGCGGTCCCTTCGTTCTGAGGTGGAGGAGCGGTAGCTTCCGCCGCTGCCACGATGACCTCGGCGCGTCGCACTTTGCTCGTCACCGACCACGATCGGCCCTTGAAGGGCCAGTCGTTGCTCGGCAGGCCTGCGAACGCTTCTCCCCCTTTCCTCCACGGACTTCGCTGTCTCCTCGGCGGCGTTCACCCACGCAAGAAACCCTGGAGGCGTTCCGTCCTCCGCGCCATCCTCTTCTCCTTCATCGTTGGTTTCTTCTGGGGCCTCTTATCCTTCGTCGACCTCGACGACTCCTCCGATATCTCGCCGCCCCACGTCTTCTTCTTCGACCCCATCCACGCCCCTCCCCCCGCAGAAGAGCAGGAGCGGCTCCCCGATCCTTTCGACAAGCTCTTGATCATAGTGACCCCGACGTACAACAGGGCCTTCCAGGGCTATCACCTGAGCCGCCTCGCCCACACGCTCAAGCTCGTGCCCCCGCCCCTACTCTGGATTGTGGTCGAGACGAAGACGGCCACCGCCGAGACCGCCGACATTCTCAGGAGATCCGGCGTCATGTACAGGCACCTCGTATGCCGCAAGAACACCAGCGTCAACCTCCACAGAGACGTTCGCCAGCGGCACACCGCCCTCAAGCACATCAGGCTCCATCGTCTGGACGGAATCGTCTACATGGCAGATGACAACAACATCTACGCGCTGGATCTCTTCGACCACCTGAGACAGATCAGGTAGTAGCTGGTAGCAGCAATTACATTATTATTCCAGCATAATCTGCCGATTTATTAGTTTGAATTGTCGCCTCAAATAGTATGACTTAATGAGTGCACTCACAGTTACAGTATACTTCGACTTATTTAAGAAGCCCGTTTCATCAGATATGCTTAAAACGATTAAGACAGAGATTTACCAGATTTGACATGTCTGGAAATGGTAGCTATATGCTGCTGCAGATGAACTACTTGTTGATATGTCTTTACACAAACCTTGACTGTGAATGGAGTACCAGTTCACTTGTATTTTTTTGACAGAAAGAAACAAGTGATAACCATGGCCAATTTCTGAATCTTCAAGTATGTTACAATTAAACATATCGTTATGCTTGACAAATGACCAACTGCATATGTTGCAAATGCTACACTTGATTAAACTTTGAGTACACTACAATAGGACACTCCTTTGTAGTTATGTGCCTTCTTCAGAATGCAGTAAACCTGAGAATTAACAAAGTCATTTTAGTTCTCGTCCTCTTGACTTTGCAGTAAACCAGTGATTTAACTAAGTCAATTTATGTCTGCTTGAATAGCTAATTACTCCCTACAAGGTTGTTTAGTAAATTTTTGTTACTCTCCTAAATGTTGAACTGTTATCCTTGTACATCATAACTTATTTACAAGTGCATTAGATGGTAAGGGCTTTCGAGTTACTGCCTGTTGATCCGCTTTCTTGACAAAGCAATTTGTGTATATAGGAGATTTGCCACTTGGCCTGTGGCGATGCTTGCTCAAAGCAAAAATAAGGTTATTCTACAAGGTCCAGTATGCAATGGAAGAAAAGTGATTGGATGGCACACGAACAGGAAAGGCAACAATCATAGGAGATTTCATGTTGATATCTCAGGCTTTGCTTTCAACAGCAGCGTACTTTGGAATCCGAGGAGATGGATGTATCCAAAAGACATCATTAGGCTACTGGACACTGTAACAGAAAGGTTTGAAGTACGTCTTCTGTTTCCTTTCCTTGTAGTTTTTAGCTTGCCAGTCAAAACTTTCACTCATAAAATGTCAAAGCTCAAAAGTAACAAGAGAGAAGATCTTGAATGAATGAAAAATAAAAAAAATCAGAAGCATCGAATAGTTGATTTGCATGTCTCAAACAATTTGGAAGATCAGCACTTGTGTTATGTTTCACAACTCCTTTGGCACCATCCTCTCTTGTTCACCTAAATGTTGGGTATTTTTTTGTGTGTATATCCTCTTCTTTATTCTGTGTTGGCATTGCCAGAAAATTCCTCTAAACTTGAAATTTTGATTATGCACTGAAGACTTTAAAATCCAGTTATTGGTAAATCTTTTCAAGTTGAAGTGTAGCCAAATTTGGAGTTTTCAACTTGCTAAAAATAAGTTGTGTGTACATGTAACCTTTTCATTCTGTTCTACATAAAAGGTTTTTAGCTAGGCTCATCCACACTGTTTCTGAACTAATGTTGAATCTTCTTTAGCAGCCGGTTTGGGTCTATTTCCATAGACAGCCTCAGGCCCCAAGGATTACCTGTTCCAGAAAAATAAGAAATCTATCCATAAAACCTTGAATGTTGCTTGAAGCCTTGAAGTTTTTATTTAATAAAAAAATATATTTATATTGTCTAGGTCACAGTATCATCCCCTTACACGATAAAAATTTACTTGGATGCATACAAGGAACTTTATGGTACTCTTATTTGTTCTTTATCCTCTATAATGTATCACAACTATGAATTAAATAATTCAAATATTGAACACAGTTAGATCAAAGTTTAAACAGCTTATTAATGGAATATGTTAATTCAAGATATTATTCTTATCAGAGTTCCTTTTTTGGTTGGATACGATGCTATTCTTTTCCTACTTGATTGCATACTTTTATCTACTGCTTACCAAATCCATCTTTCGGCAATATAAAACTGTTTTAAGTATAACGTATGCAGGATACAGGATTTATCGAACAGATAGTCGAGGACGAAGGCCAACTAGAAGGCTTACCTAATGATTGCTCAAGGATTATGAATTGGCGTCTGCAATTGGAATCTAGAAGTCTTGTTTATCCTAGAGGGTGGCAGATTTCAAAGAATCTCAATACTGTTGTTCCTTTAAATTAGGAATTCTAGCTTGTCCAAGGTATACCTACTTAAGTTTGGTTCTTATTTTCGAATTATTCCATCACATTCTTTTAGATATTGGAGGCAATGTTTTGGGCAGCCATCACCTGGGCCCTAAGCTACTGTCCAGTTAATCTTTGTCTCTTTATGTTTACAAGGCTTCAACTCATTTGTGTCCTTACTACTGTTTCATCTTACATTTGCAGCTTTGTGATCTTTAATGATGGTCTCCTTCGTAGCAAAGCATCTATGCTCAGTAATGGTTCTTTCCCTCTCCCACCCCAATCAAGAGCACATTTAATATGTATTCATTATTCTTTTAGTCAATTTATGTACAAACACATTATAGAAGAGTGATTGTGTTTTTTAAGAAATTGTTTGAGAAATTGTGTTTGATGCCTTCGTTTTCCTTTTTCTTTTTCTGTGTCGGCTGCATATCGATCTGAAAAGTATTTTTTTATATTCTTTTTCTTTTAATCACATTATTAGCTCAGTGGAGGATTGTTGACTGACATCCATGTTGGAGGGCGAAAAAGATGAGCTGGTTCCTATGACATGTTCATCTCTTGGAAGTACGTCTCATAGTTTCTCTTTCTGTAGTTTTGGTAGCGTGTGTGTGCCTGTGAGAATAATATTAGTCTGTATCTTTAATGTTGTCAAAAATGATAACAATGTTCGATATTATAGTCATCAAGTTTTGTTACATGGATCGACTCATGGCATGAATCACCATGCGATGGTAACCGGGTCGGATCTAGAATCGCCTTGCCCCTTTCTCGGTGCGCGGCGTCGTGCAACCCAATCCATATCCGGTCTAATCGGGTCGGATCTAAAATATATTCACATAACTTGATGCTCGCTTAATGGTAAGCCATTTCATATCAGGTTTACTGACCTTACCTCGCTCGCGCGATTAACGCACGTCGTTGCCTCCGTGCGTGCGTGTGAGAGAAGGCGAAGGTGCGGAGTATTACTTTCTTCGGCCCGGCGACGGCGACGAGGAGGGAAACTCCTCATCGCCTCTCGAGGCCGCTCTCAAATTAGACCTCCGAGCCTGCGCTTCTATTGTTACAGAGAGAAAGATCGAGATCGTGGCCGAGATTGAGAGGGAGAGAGGCGAATATAAAGGGAAGGAAGAGGGAGAGGGGATATGGAGGGCTGGGATCCGAGCACGAAGTCGGCGCTGACGCAGATCCCGCTGTTGTCGACGCGGGCGGGGCCGCGGGAAGGGTCGGCGTGGACGCAGCGGCTGAAGGAGGAGTATCGCGCCCTGATCGCCTACACCACCATGAACAAGTCCCACGACAACGATTGGTTCCGCATCTCCGCCGCCAATCCCGAGGACACCCACTGGTCGGGCACCTGCTGGTACGTCCACAACCTCCGCCGCTACGAGTTCCAAGTCCAGTTCGACATCCCCGTCACCTACCCCGCCACCGCCCCCGAAATCGAGCTCCCCCAGCTCGACGGCAAGACCCACAAGATGTACCGGGGAGGCAAGATCTGCCTCACCGTCCACTTCAAGCCGCTCTGGGCCAAGAACTGGTATCTAAAAATAACAAAAAAGATAGAAAATTTTTTATCCTTCCCTTTTGTGGTGTGATTCTTGACAATAATTATCTCGGTTTGTTCATTGGCAGCCCTACGTTTGGAATTGCGCACGCCCTTTGCCTGGGCCTCGCGCCGTGGCTTGCCGCGGAGGTGCCGATTCTTGTCGACTCCGGCGTTCTGAAGCACAAAGATGATGAGCCCTCCTTAGCCGGATCTTGACGGTTTGCCTCTCTTGGTTGTTATAGCCCTAATCAGTCATACGAGACAGCAACTTCAAACTTAATAAACATCTGTTTCGTTGAAGATCCTTTGGAATTGGTTATATATATATATATATATGTTGTTTACGCATTGATCATGTGTAGTGCTCAAGTATTACTGATGTTAAGATTTTGTTCTTCCGGTATTTTTGATCATGTGTAATAAAATAGACCTAACAACCCTGGCTTTGGAACCGGTGGTTTTGGTTCTGAAAATTTAGAATCAGAACTGTCTATTTTAATTGCATTTATTTTTTATTTAATACAAATGCAATTTGTAGCAACATAATGTTTAAATTTAAAATTTAAATTTCATCAAAGCTTATATTGACATAAATTAACAACATATAATTTACATCAATCGCTGATATTCACCAATGTTAGATATTCTGATTATTATAGATCAAACAAATCTTCATTGCTTTCTCAGATGATCTCTTGTCTCTTTTGCTCCCTTTCGATCCAGTCATCAACAACATCTGGGCCTTAACTGATTCGGGGTCAAATGCGTCTCATCCAAGATACATTCTCCGACGCCGAAAGCTTGCTCTAAATCTGTTGCCAACGATGAAGGTTGCGAATATGCTGGGTTTTTCTAGCAGGAGTATTCTTAAGTCTGTTTTGTCTACTTTTTATATGGGCTAACAAAAGAATTAGCTTTAATTTAAATTATGAACCCTCTGATTGGGTGGGTGGTCATTACTTGGAAATGAAAGAAAGCTTTTCTGAGTTCCAGTTTGCTTTTTATCATCATTCAGTGGAGTATGTATGTGTTTTATAAACTAAGCTGAGGATCCATACAACAAATTGGACTTTGAGGTTTGCAACTTGGACTGTGCTGTTTGCAGATTGAGATGTCACACAATGCACCCACCATACAGAAATGTGGATTAGTATTTTGCTCAAGACAGTAGTTGTCGAACACCTTTTCTTCTTCGAAGTATCAATTCTGTTCAAACCGACAGGTACTTTTAGATTTATTAACTCAGTTTTGAAACATTTTGCAGGAGAGAATGGCAGCATCCGGCAGCTCCATGATGTTGTTGTGCATCGAAAGCTTGTGTGTGTGGTTCCTTTTCATTTTTATTTTTGTTGAACCCTGTTTGTTCCGTAATTTGGATCTGATAGACAAACTATCTTCTGCCTTTTATTTCCTGTCTGAACTATGCTGAGATTAGGAGGGAATATGTGAGACGTTTAACACTTGGGGTTGGATTGTGTTTTGCATATTCTTTTCTGGAAATGCTGAACTGCCTGAAGCAAAACCAGCTTAAGAATGTAAGAAAACGAATGGCTCATTCTTTTTATTTTTATTTTGCTTTTATTATATTTCTTATGGTTGGTGTTTCATAGCTGATCTGCTTAAATCATCGCCTGGTACAACAAGGGTTGCAATTGACTTTGTATCCTCAGGTTGTCCGAGGTCGGTTCTTACAACGGCATTCTAGCTTTGAGATTGGTGCGATGCAGCAAAGGATGGAATCCCACCTTACATCCACTCTACGTCATCTGGCTATTTGGCTTATCATCATCATCCGATCTATTTCTCGGAAAATAAAAGAATTAACATGAACAATAATGACGTGGCTTTCTTTGGAATAGCCAGGTCATACAATTAGTTATTATTATTTTTCTTTATGATGATTTCTCTCCTATTCAGGTTTACCTGACGTGATAAATTGACTCATCGTGGGCCCTCTAGCTCTTGAAGATTAGTTGGGCCCTCTGCTATCTGCAAACGGGCCTTCAAGTCCAGGGTTCAATCTTCCACGCTTCCTGTGCGAGCGGTCACCCGAGGCCGAGGTAAGAAATGGCGATAAAGGGGAACAACAGCAGGAACACGAGCGGTGAAAAGAAGGGAGCTGAAGCGGCAGAGTAGGGGTAAAGGTGGGGACACTAGTATGAAGAAGCTGCAGCCAGAGCGGAAGCCTAAAGGGGGGGAGAAGAAGAAGAAGAACAGGAAGGAGAAGGTCGCGGGAGATGACAAGACGAAGAAAAAGAACTTGAGTAGGAAGAAGATGGAGGGCGTGGGCGAGGATAGGAATCAAGCGAACAAGAAGAGGAAATCGAAGGAAGGAGTCACCAAAAAAGAGGAGGCGCAGGAGAAGAAGAGGAGCAGAAACGGGGACATCGGTTTCTCCTCCTTCATCGCCGCTGACAAGGAGTCTGGAGGTGGTGGCAGCGCTTCCTGCAGCTTCCCGATGAGCCGCGTGCGGCGCCTCATGCGCCTCGAGGGCGGGAACGCTAATGTCACCATCAGCGGGATCTCCTCCGACGCCGTCTTCCTCGTCAACAAGGCATCCGTAAGCTCTCCTATACCCTTTCTCTTCGTCTTTCCTTCTTCCTCCTCCAAATCAAGACTTTGTCACTAGGGTTTTCTGGTTTTGGGCGTTTAAATATGGGTTTCTCGATCCCATTATCTTGTGATTTAGATAACAAAACGTGCTGTGGCGGCTGTTTCGCTGTTACCTCATGATTCCTTATACCAAAGCTATAAGGAGTCGTGTATATTTCGAGGGTTTTTTATCTTCTTGGCCATATTCGCATTGCTTCGGTTCTACGAGATGCTTCTGTTTCCAGCTATGATTCGTTTACTTGCAAACTTACCTTTTGGTAATAGCATTCCATTTTTTCCCCTCTTCTCTTTTTTTTTTTCTTCCTTTTTTCTTCCTTGAATAGCATCTTGGTTTCTCTCTCACGTTTAATGCTAATTCTAGTGGTCACATTTTTTCATCTTTATCTCTTTGACACGCTTAGCGTTTTTTTGCCTAAATGCAGGAGATGTTTCTGGAGAAGTTTGTCAAGGATTCTTTTTCTAGAGGGATGAGGAGGCAGAAGAAATCCGTCACCTACAAAGATCTATGTCAGTATCTCTGTCTAAGTTTGCCGAAATGAGATCTTTTTTTCTGTTTTAGATTTATTATTATTATTTTTTTCCTTTGAGTTGCAATATTGGTATATTTCCGTCTTTACTATTCTGATTGAAGGTGTCTCATTACTTCCTAATGATGTTTATTGATCATGTTTTAATTGTGGCTTCCAAATCACGCTCACAGAAAAGAAACAAATTCTAAATTCATATTTTGGGTTACCTGTCAATCTTCTTCTAAACTCTGGGTCATGCCCAACGACCTCTGCTTTTCTATGATCTTTCCTTAGAGACGCATCTGACTAAAACATCAGCACATTAATGACTGTTTTGTTTCTTCTTTCTCCCAGTAGTTTTGATTGTTAATTCACTCATTTATGTCTTTGTAAAATTAACTCATTTATGCAATAATACCTGGTACGGTTGTGATTGACTTGTTTAGATCAATCTATGATTCATAATAGACCTTTAAGTTATAGGTGCATCTTTCTTTCATTGACAAGGTAGAATCCTCTTGATGCTGAATTTTTAGATTGCAGGATTTGATTGCTTTGATTATGATAAACGTGATGCGTAACAACAATGAATTTTCATATAAATGATGAAGCATGCCTTTTATGATGATAGCTATGCGCTAGTTCTCGAAGTTGGCCAATATTGTCTGGTTTTGTTGACATAAGAATAAGCACTTATGACTTGACCATGGTGTTCAGTGTTCCATCTTTTTCAGATCTAACCACTAAAGTTTGTGATTGATCAACTTTCACAATTTATCTTTGATGGAATGTCATGTCATGTCATGTTAGCCACAACTTCCATCTACTTTGGAATGTATCAGGAAGTTCAGAGAGGCTAAAAGTGAATAATAAGCTTCTACTTGGCGTACGATGGTATGTAAAACTCAGCATATGACCTAGTTTCCAGGTTTCAATGAACTTTGACAAAAAAAAAAGACAACTGGCTTTAGCTAAAACCAACTGAAATAAGTTGGATTCTTCAAGAAGACATTTTGTAATTTGCTTTAAAACTGTTTGCTCCAATGTGACTAGTCATGAGAGACACAAACTCAGTTAAAGAAATAACTTATAAAATGCTGTTGAGATGTTAGAATGGGAAATTTAATGAAAAATTGTGCTAGTAGCTGGTTGGAAAGGTATTTTCATTTCTTTCTGGTTTCAATTGACAACTGTACTTGAATATGATAAATGATGGATCTGCAATCATACTTTGTTATCATATGGTTTTGTAGAGAGTATAAAATGATTCAGAACTCTATCTGTGATGAACAACAACTTCCCTGCTAGTGTTACTCTCTGTCACTTGTTGTGGTTGTTAGTCTAAGTTCTTGAATGTCCCATGTTGCCATCAAACTGTTGAGGCATTATTACTAGCTCTTGTATGGGCTGTGTCATAACTTGAAATGTTGTCACTTATTCTGTAACTGCTGTTGTACTGCCTGGTAACAGTATGATGTGATTAAACAACTAAGGATAACAGATACCAATTGTTTGAAGGATTAAGAGTAATAAGAGGATGGCTAGGTAGGAAAATAGGGACTGGGTTGAAACTCTTGATACCTTAATGAAATAGTATGATGATCTCTAAATGTTTTATTTAGGCAGAAGAAAAATGACTTTGGCTTAAGAATAAGCATAACTTCATAAGTGTAAACACTGAGTTAGGATTACATATCTAAGGATGATTTGTGGAAGATCTTGTCAATTAATTAATTAATTTTTAAAATAATTTTTAGTTGAGAGGAAAAAAAAATAATGGAACATGATCCTGTTTGGTCTGTTTCTATTAGTGGGGGACTGAGTCACTTATATTCCAACTGAGGGTAAAATCAAGACTTAGTTCTAGTGTTTCTTGAGTTTCTTTTATAGATGAATGCTACATTCTAGTGACTCTTATTAGCTGCAAAATTGGATTATATCTTAACACTTGTCAGAGATTAAGGTTATTAGCTGGCTGTTATTGGAGTCAAATTAGGAAATAGGAATCAGTGTTTGGAGGACAATCATGATTATGTGATTTTTTTTTTCATGTGAATATTTATCTACTTTTTCCCTGAAGATGATTATGATTGTAACATGGTTTTTCCTTCATTAAAAAGGTTTAGCTGTATTTTGCCCAGACTGGCAACATATGGATCTAATAGTTCAGCTACTTGATTGTGATTTGTATAGGGTAGTTGACAATTGATGAGCTAGCTTATCGAGGATTGGTTGGGCTTATTGATGGAGTTTATGGAGATCAACCAGTGTCAGATTTTTAGCATATACTATTAAGTAGGTTTTTCTGGAAAATTTTGACTAATCATCCAGTTTTAAATGAAGGTTTGAGGATTTATTGATTGGCAATTCAAGATTTGATATGGAGGATAATGGGTTCAGATGTATGGATGGTGCAACCATACTTTAAGCCAAAGTGTACTCTATTAGGATAACTGACAGAAATCGTGATTTGTAAGCTTAATATTGTAGTGTGGTCATACTTAGTTGGCTCTTTCGTGATATGCCTTTGAGATTAGCATCACTCCTCGTATTGACACTTGTGACTAACCTTTTTTTATGCTCCTTTCATTTAAAGAAAAAAAAAGTCAGTGGTCCATTACAGATTTTGGCAACTGGTCCCGTATACCGGACACAATATTGACCTGTACCTCAGATATCATCAGAAAATTAAGAAAAAGAAGAATTAGATGCTGATCATGACCAATCTGTATGGCACAATATCAGTCCTTTATTGGATCGGTAAATTAGCTGTTGGTGTGGATTGATAAATATCTGTTGGCTCAGGCTGGTAAATATCCAGTTGACAACACACTGTTCCATACTATGCTGTGTTCCATGTTGAAGATAACAATGTTCTACCTAGCAAAATTTGCCTGCCGATTGATGGTTATGTTGCCATATTTAGTTGTGTGTGACCTCCTTGCAGAACAAATTTAGAACAAAGGTTCGTACAAGCAATCACAAGTTTTCCCATACACTTCATAAAATCCAGATGTCAATCAATGTTGAGGAGTCGGTTTCCATCCACATCCATGCCAAGCACACATGAATCACAGTTGCTCTTCAAAACATAGTTATCAAGTTGCAACCGTTGGTAACCAACCTGATGGAATTATGAACATAGCTGTTATATCATTGTACTTTTGTTGGAGAGCTCAACACCTTGGCTTGTTATTTTTGACATTTGTTTTCCTCTTTCATTCATTACGATGTGATTGGTACATGCTTGCATTCATCATACCTGCTGATTCTTCAGTCGAGTATCATCCAGGATTTGGTTTCTTATGTTGCTGCTATCAGTCTGAATACTGAATGGTAGGTACTTTTTGGATGGTTGACCTTGCTCGTGAACTGGTTCTGTAGTCTCATGGTGACAGGCTGTCTGCAAGACTCAGTTCCTAAAAGTCCTGAACTAGCAAAGTGAATCAAATGCTACTTGTGTCATTTTCTCGTTCTATGTTTGCCTTGGGTGACTGAATTGAATTGTACTTAGAGAAGACAAATCTGCAACTTGAAAGCTAATGACTCTCAAGTAACTATGACAATGCCCTTTTTTTTTTTTCTTTTTCAGCATCGACCGTCCACTCTAAAAAGAGATATGAATTCTTGTCAGGTAAAATTTTGCATTCACAATCATTTGTGTAAGATGGAAATAACGTATATCTATCTATCTATCTATTGACGATTCCTTTCCTCCTATTGTTCAGATTTTGTCCCAGAGAAAGTAAAAGCCGAGGATGCATTGAAGGCGAGGGCACTCGTCGTCGGTACATGATTCCGCCAAAAGCTTCAAATGCGAGAGCACAAAGTAAACCCTATTTTTGTGTGTCAATCTCTGTACCATCATCAGGTCTCCCCCATGGGAGGAGGGAGTTTTGATATGTTGTTGTGTGCGCTCGAGCATGATAGATCGATATGTGAAATACTGAGTTCAAGAGCGTTCCTCTTTTACCCTCTTATCATCCTCGTGTGATTGATGCATTTGGTATTTGAACTATTTCCGTTATGGAAGACTCTTTAAGGCTACGAGTGAGAGTTCATTAGTAAAATGGCAATTTTCTTACAAAAGTTGTTTCTCGCAGTATAGCGTACTAATGTGCCTTTACTCTTTCTTCAAAATAATAAAAATATGCTCGATCATTCTATCTTTTCTTTCTAGTTGAAGTTTATTTTAACTCATATAATTTTAGTCATGAATTTTTTAAGTTTTTATGGTTTACTCATAACTAAAATAATTTTTATATTTTTAAAAAATATAACATATAAGTTCTTTTCATCAAATCTAAATTAATCGTTTGAGTCATAATAATTTTTATAGGTGGAGTCATAATAAATCATTGATATAATGATGTGTGATTTAGGGTTAAGATTTATTTTAGTTCTTGTGGTTTTCACGACGAACTTTTTAAGTCCTTATGGTTTATTTATGTGTAAAATAATTCATATATTTAAAAAAACGTAACATATAAGCTTCTCTCGTTAAATCTAAGTTAACATATGTTAGAGTCTATTTATGTGGTATGCTTACTCATAATATTATATTATGTTAGTCGTCATATGTCACTTATTAACTCTAGGGCGTATGCCACCACGTCGCCCACAACAATATTGCTTGTCATTGCGAACGACACCCCGCTTTGATCCTGATAAGTACCACCATATCTTGTAAGCCACCTCCCCCACAAAGTATGACATCACAAAGATGAAGAGCAGGCGAAAGGAGTGATTAAGTTAGTCCATGTAGCCCTCCTGCACTCGCTCGCTCTCCCCGACCAACTTATCGAGGAAGATGAAGCGACGAAGGTCATAGCGACGGACGAAGGCAGAGAGGCAGAGGTAGGAGAGGCCGGAGGGAAAAATGAGGAAGAGTTGGACCACTACGTCATAGGTGCGATGGGTGGGGGCATAGGAGAGGATAAAGTGTGAGGTGGTGGAGACGAAGACACCCAGCAGGAGGAAGACGGACAAGGAGACCACTGCATATCTAACTATCACGAACGTTCGTCACGCACCCACAACATCTTCGCTTAACGAATTGTTTATCGCTTTTGCATGCTTGTACAGATGCTTGACAGCATGTTTTACCTTGGCTTTGTGTGTTTTTGCTGAAAAATGTATGCAAAAATAATTCGTGGCGCTATAGTGCGATCGCTCATCACGCCGGGCATAACTACCCCAAAATGGCTTAGTTTTCACGTGCCAAGCCTGTTTTTTGTAGACCGCAGTCATGCGTGAAACGTCGGCCATCTTGAACCCTTGGAACCCCCCAAGTCACACAAGGGTGGGTGGGGCTTCGAGGTAGTGTTGGGAGTTGATTGGTATACACAAGTTCACATATTAACTTCACGAGAACTTGTCATCGCACCCGACACCTGGTGAGCAATCGTTTGTGGGCTTGTGACTATTTGTTTTGTCTTTTAAAGTCATTGTTTTCTCCTTTTTCTCTCTTCTTTCTTACACTCAAAGTGTTGGTTGAATTACTTGTAAAGCTTTTTTTTCACGAGATGTTAGGACTTGTCTACTGCTTGCTTTCGAACTAATCAACTTGCTCCTTTTACAGGTCATACGAGACCGAAGCGAGGTTGCAAATTGGTTAACTCTTAGGGGATGCATATCACAAGGGTGCCTCATGACTTAGGCAATCCTAGCTAAGTCCGATAAGTTGGCGCAATGGTGTTTCACAATTTAGGCAACTCCAGCTAAATCCGTGACTTTATCGCAAGGGTACCTTATGACTTAGGCAATTCTAGCTAAGTCTATGACATTCTGGTATCAGAGCGGATGGGTTGAGCAAGATGGGTCATGCCATGATGAAACAATGAAGAGCGAACAATGAAGAAACTTCACAATCTTGCCATGACGAAGCATCATGACGAATTGAGCAAGATGGGTCAAGTCGAACCATTGCCTTAAGCGGCCACAGGTGGGTTGCAAGTGCAAACACGACGAGCGAAAAGTTGACTATTCTTCGAAAGTAGAGAAGGGTCAATCTGGAGTGCCAACTAGGAAAAAAAGTCATCGCAATGATGGAAATCCAATGAAAGCTTCTTTGGGTAAGTAAAGAACTCGTAGAAGTTGAATCTCAAATCGACAAGGTTGATTTGGTTCATCGGTTCATCAAAATTTATCAAATTTAGTTAAATTTAGAAAAAAATTACCATATTCACACATTGAATTAAGTATAAAATATTAATTTAAAATATCAAAAAAAAAAAGTGAAAAAAAAAAAACAAAACAGGATGGAAGTGTGATTGATGGCACTTTTGCCCAAAGAAATCGTCTAAAAACAATCGTGCTTACTAAATGTTATGAACAATAAAAAAAATATAAAATAAAGGGTTTTTATTTTATTTTTTGGCATTGGTTACGATTCCTACGAAAAGAATGGTTGCGGTGAGCTGCTCATGTTTGGTCACGCAACCCGTTTCAATATGTTTACTACATTCCCCACCCAACCAAACCGAATCACCAAAGAGGAGGTTCCTCTCTTCTTCTTCCTCTTTGCGGCATCCCTAGCTTCCTTCCGTCCGTCCCCGCCCAACAACCCAGATTTCTCGGTAAGAGGGGACAGCCGGTTCCGTTCAGAATTCTCATCCTCAGATGGGGAACACGGGGAGCAGCACCATCGACAATGGCCATCGCCGGAATTCCCGCCACCATCACCACCTCCACCTGCCTCCTTTCGGGGCCTCCGATGCTCCTCCCCTGCCACCGCAGCCACAGCTGCAGCCTCAGCAGCCGGAGATCGTGGCACAGTACCCCATTCCCTACTTCCCGTACGGCTACTACCCCAGCCCGTCGCCTGCTATGCCCGTGCCGCTCCCGGCGCCGTTCGACCACCACCAGCGCCGTGAGTACCCGTTTCACCACCCGGGGTGGGCCAACGGTGGGAGGTACCCCTACGGCGCTCCGCTTCCCGCGCCTGCCCCCGCCCCCTACGTCGATCACCATAAGGCTGTCACCATCCGCAACGATGTTAACATCAAGAAGGAGACTCTGAGGGTCGAGCCTGATGAGCAGAATCCCGGCCAGTTTCTTGTGGCTTTCACTTTCGATGCCACCGTTGCTGGAAGGTGAGCCTCCCTCACAGAGAATAAAAAATTGTTCGTCCTTGTGATCATCTCAACGTGCAAGTTGTTCTAATTTTCCTAAACTTCTTCTTCTTCCGCCTCGTCAAGTAACATGTTCCCTTAGGAGTTAGGAGTAACTTGTTTAAACTTGGCTTCACTAAAAAAAGTTTCCTATTGATTCATCAAGGATTCCTTCTTGAAAAAGTAACATCCATAAGCAATAACTAAGAAGGTAAATTGTGCACTCCAACCCGATATGATCGTTCCGTTGTACTATTTGTCTACTTTTCTACTCTTTCCTTTGATTTTGATGAACATTTGCTTTGATGCACCGCACAGAACTGACTTTCTTTTGTCCTTCAGTGGCTATTCTGATCATGTTGGTTCTTTTCAGTAGCATTCTTTCTATAGCCATGAAAGTTACATCTTGTCAGATATGAATGAATTGCTGCAAGTTTGAAAATGTCACCCTCTTCTGTTTTCCTATTCACATGGACCTAACTATGTCCTGTTATCAGCCAGATAGCTATTACCAACCGGCGGCAAGCCGATGGCAGTGGTCCAGAAATATGCATACCCATGACCCACTTCCGATAGGTGATGATGAACATTGGACTACCATATTATTCATGGTGCTCAGCTCCACAACAAGGATGTTTTCAAGTCTGGGCAATGATAAGATGCTGCTTAACCCTACAAATTTTGGTGTTTATAAACTATCTCATCCAATCTCCTCCCTCAATTATATTAATTTCCATTTCCTGAACTTGTCTATTATGCCTTATCTGCTCTACCAGGAGTCCAACTCCAATAAAGTCATAACATAGATCTTAAGTTCTGAAAACAGTGAGCAAATTCCGTCCCTAAGCTTCAAGCCAATTAAGGCCTGAACGTCCCATTTCCCAAGGCCTAGGCCCAATCTTAGGATGTCTTCCTAAATTATTTATGATTTTGAGGTCCTAAGAGTATCCTACAAGAAAATCTTCTGTGATTGGTCTATTCATTTGTCATTTGTAACATGCAGATATTGTTATGCCTATATGCACTTTTCTGTATCTGTTCTTCACAAGTCTTATGGTACATTTTTGGATCCTTGAGTTATCCAGTCACTTGTTGTGCAGACAAACGATGGCTTATTTAAATTGATTGGTCGTCATACAGGTATTCTTTTGCCCTGAATCATCTAAAATTATGAGCTGAGCGGTCCACTTTATCAATTTGCTGTTAGACTCAATCATCCACTAGTATATGCTTGTTTTAGGCAGGCTTGAGTTGTCTCAGAGTTGAAACAGTAGGTTCGAGTGCCATCCCGGTAACTGCACCTTTTTAACTGTGGTGCAAAGCTATCCAGTCTAAATCTTGGTATCTCTCATGGCCGATAAGAGATTGTGAGGAATAATTAAATGGGAACGGGAGGGTCGAAAAATGGATGAGGAAAGGAAGAGGAGAGGAACTTCCTATTAGTTGTGGCTGCAGCAGCAACCATGGGAGCGCATGGCTATCAATAATGGTTTGATTTGAAATGAGGAAGATTGGAATGCAGAGCATAATATAAATAAGGAATGAGTGGGCCAAGAAAATCTATTGGAGTAGGGACTGAATATATAGCCGTAATCCATAATTAAGTTGAGGTTAGATAGGAATAGCTGTTCTTAGTTAATTTTAGCAACTGATCAATCAGTCTAAATGTTGAGTTATTGTGTAACTTCCGGTGGCTTCTTGGCGAACTCCTTGACTCACCTAGATTCCTCATCCAGGAGCACCACCCTGTACTTTGATGGTTCAGCAACCTGGCCATGTAGTGTCAGGTATCCGCAATACGCTGAAGATGATGACCACCATACTTAAAAGCCACTTATGTGTTCTTTGTCCTGCAAAACTCCTAATTGTAAACACTTGTGTCTTAACACACTAGAATTTGCTGTCCAATTGTATAGATTACAGTAGGGACTTCTTGATTAGTTGAGCTGGATCTCATTCCAAATAATTCAAAACTTAGAAGTATATTAAGTTGAGCGCTTATAACAGTTTTGATGTTATCTGCTAATTAATAGCTAAATTATATTTTAAGAAATTTTATTGGGTTGTTCATTCTGGGATTTATAAAAATTACAGAGCCAGCTACTGCAGTAACAAAATATATCTGGAGAAACTATCGCCACATTATTTTTGGATCCTAGTTACTATTTTCACAAAATGATTAGTTTAACTGAGCCTGTGATGATCCCACTAGAGTAGCATGGTCATAAAAATGTGGATCTTCATCCCTGGTTGGGAATTCCACTGTAGCATTACTGGACCCATGATATTCATAATTTCTTTCTGTTTCAATTAAAGCTAATTACCTGCATATGAGAGTTCACTGAAGCTAGTTCAACTGTACAAATTGTGTAGGACCATATGAATGTGTTATGAAGTTGTTTATGACTGCATTACTGTTGTTGCAAGTTGCAACTGGGTTTTTCTTTCAACCATGTGATATACTCAGATTGACTTCTTTTCATCCATCTGAGCTGGGAACTACTTTGAAGTTATAACTGCAGTTTGTATATTTATTGTTTTTTTCCCATCCACATAGTGACAGGAAGCTTATAATCAATCTGAACAAGAAAATGATGAATTCTTTGTGGTGGTTGGTCTGGTGAATATGATGGTGGATCTTGAGTTGCCATTTGTTCATGCTTAAGCATGGAGATGTCTTCACCCTTGTGCAAATATTTTGGTAGTTAATGTCTTCATGTGCATTTTTTAGATAATATTTCTAAGCTGTACTCTCTTTTTCATTCTGCAAACAGCATCACTGTCTTCTTCTTTGCAAAAGAAGGCTCGGACTGTAACTTGATCACAGTAAAGGAATTGCTTAAACCAGTCACAGTACCTTTTAAAGAAGGTCTGGGCCAGAAGTTTAGGCAACCATCTGGAACTGGAATTGATCTCTTCCTGGTTGATGAGATGGAGTTGATAAAAGTGGGAGAATCAAATGTCTACCCCCTAGCTGTGAAAGCAGAAGCTTCTCCATCCAGTAATCAAGATTTTGATGAGCACCAGCAAGTACAATCTTCAGACTCACAGATTACACAGGCGATTTTTGAAAAGAAAAACAATGCTGGTTATGATGTGCGTGTGACGAAGCAGATCTTATGGGTAAGTGGAACCAGATATGAGTTGCAGGAGATTTACGGTATTGGCAACTCAGTTGGTGGTGAGACTGATGAAAATGATTCTGGAAAAGAATGTGTGATTTGTCTTTCAGAACCACGTGAAACCACTGTTCTGCCTTGTAGACATATGGTATGTTGAGCTAAATCGTAGCAAACAATTGTTTGTTCTTATATTGCTCTATCTATTTTGATCACAGATTAACATCCTAATATCTGTTTAGCAAGTAATTTCATGATAAATTTAAAGTAGACAATGGTCAAAGGAAGTTGGTTGGTATCTGATTCCTTGTTTGTACAATAGTTGACTGGATATTCGTGAAAATTTAGGTACATGATAGATACTTTTAAAACCATTTGTGATCCATATTACATGAGCCTTTTCTTTAGGGAAAGGAAAAAAGCTATGCAGCATCGATGCATACATTTGGCTTTCTAAAGCACATATTCATGCATGTATTGTTTGGATATCTTGTTATTCATTGTATCATGTTGTTTATGTAGTTTGTTGGTTCATCTATGATATTTAATATGGTAATAGCTAGCTCCGATGGTTTTACAGCAAACTCTTGTAATCATAAATGTTGAAATTTTTTACTGTGTTGGGGTATGTTCTTCGCTTAAATTTATGCCTACTTGCCTTTTTTGGTTTGTTCATGTTTGTAAGTTCGTATTTTTAAAGGTGGAAAGCCCAAGTAACCTAGAGTTGTTGTTGTCTTTTTTTATAACCTTCTTTTTACACAAAGAATAACTGCATAATAATTAAGGATCCATTTGGTTCATGCTATTATAGCTAATGATTTTTTCCAACTATGAAACAGCTTATAACCAAATTCTTGAAGATACAATGTGCTGAATTTTAGAAAAAGAAAGGGAATTTTTTGTTTGGTACACTGATTTGTATAATGATATGTATGAGAAAGTGACATTTTATGGACGATGTGAGGTGGAGCATCTTAAATGGTTTCATCATGAGTCCTAATGTATTTTCCCTTAATCTTCAAGATTAAGTTTCATAACGGATGGTGTTTGCTGGTAACATTGCTTTGAATGATGATAGTAGAGTGCAAATAAACTATAAGGAACCGTGGAGACAATCTCTGGAAAAATGAATAGATAAATTACATTATCGGTAATACAGTAAAAGAGATGAAAGTATGGAAAATATAGATGGTCAAAAAAATTATAAAAGGCAAATAACTGTTGGTTTCTTTGACTTATTGCTGAAGAGGTAGTGGAGCCATTAAAACTGAAATGTTTGGTTAAATTGGATAAAAGTTGCTTGAAGTGGTTGCCTTCATGGAAAATATAGGATATACTGAGGGCAAGTTATCTAAGGTGAATTAGACATGCTAAATAACATCTACCTGGCAAGATGAATTGAGTGTGACTTGGTTCAAGAAAAAGACTCCAGAAGAGATATAAGAAGACTGAAAGGGCTTGACCTGGAAAGATTAACCATGCGCTTGGTTTATTTTTGGGCATTGTTCTTGACATAACTTAATGGCAGAAAAGGATCCATGTAGTTGACCTTGAGTAGCCATTAACAGCAACTTTGTTGTTTGCATTACAACTTATAAGAGTAGAAATTAGGAGAAATGTTAAAGGGCTTAATCTCAGTAAGGAATAAAGCAGATAATGGTCCCTATTGCTTAAGTACCAGGTTGTCAATAATCAAGTTTAGGAGAAATGTGAAAGGGCTTAACCTCAGTAAAGAATAAAGTAGATAATGGTCCCTATTGCTTAATTACAGGGTTGTCAATAATCAAGTTTATAATGGAGCTGCTTGTAGAAATCATGGTGGAAAATTAGCCAGATACCTTGCCAAGAACTAGCACTTCAAAGGCTATACAGAATCAACTGTTATGACCAAAGCATTGACATGCAAAAGACAAGCATGTCTTAATAATTCTTAAATTTACTGACTAGCATCCTATTTTCCTTGTAGATTGCCTGAACAGCAACATGTAGGGAATGTGAAAGTTAATATACAATGATGCTGTTGCAAAATTCTGCAACCTCTAAATTGTGGCTCCTACAAACTAGAAAATGTGAGATATCTAAAGACATTGATGTTTTGTTGGGCACCAGTGTTTACATCTTTAAAGCATACATTCTGATGTTTAAGTTGAGTGCATTCTACCGAAGTAGGCATTTTGGATTACAAAGCTTTATGTTCTTGCATTTTTAGCATATTATCTGCAGAAAGCCTTACGGAAACATAAACAACGCAGGATTTCTTTCAGATAGATCTAACATATGCATCTAAACCGTCTCTCTTCTTGTTGTAGTGCATGTGTCGCGAATGTGCGAAGGTGCTGAGGTTCCAAACAAATCGATGCCCAATGTGCCGGCAGCTGGTGGAGCAGCTACTGGAGATCAAGATCCATGACAGAGCCGAGAAGCGACAAGAGAGATAACACCCATCTCATCAAAAGTCCTATGCCCTGGATCCTGAGCTTGGCTTCAAGAGAGAGCCAGAATGAGGCATATGGTAAGAACTGTATGCTTGTGTGTATATAATAATTGGCAACTGTGATTTATTTCTATGGATAAATCGCTGGGATTTGGACCGTGCCAGATGTATATGCTTCTTAGCATCAGCTTGTGTTTGTGAGGGTTGTTGAGGCGTCACTGTACGAGACACTGTTTAGTTGCTGTTTCTTACTGGTGGGACCTATTGTATCTGGTTGTAGTCAAAGAATGAGCGATCGGTGAAGCGTTGACGAGATCCACTCTTGTATTTCATGCAAAATAAATCTTAGAAGCTTCATCCCAACCATTGCTGTGTTTCAATTATCGATGGCCTATGTATCTGATAACTTCGGCGGCCGAGACAGGAAGATCCCACCCACCCGTTGTCGACACCACGTGGTCAATGTGGCCCCTCGTTGTTGGGTCGATTTAAATCAGATTTACTTGAACCAGAGTCAGTTATTTTGACGGGCCGGTCCAAGGTTACGGTTCGATTCGGGGGATTGCACGGAACCGGCTACGTCTTTCCCCGATGGCTCGAGGGGTAGGTGAGGCTTGTGGTAGGTCGTTGACGGCCTCCCCAGGCACGAAATCCATCCCTTTCTATATATTTTAATTCCTCCCACCTCTACTCGGGGCGGTAGGAGGAAGGGGGAGAAGAAGCGAGAAGCGGATCCATCGATTGATCCATGGCGGCTTCTTCTTCTTTGGCTTCTTCGAAATCTTTACTCGGGGGAAGGAGATCCGACGGGGTCTCCGGCCTCGGCTTCCGTCAGCCCTCCGATCTTCGTCGCCTGTCCTCCTCCGCCATCCAGATCTCCATCCGGCGCTGGGCTTCCCTTCCCGCCAGAAGGCTCGGTGAGCTCCCCTCTGTCTCCCCACCGATCACCCTCTTTCCCTGGTTCCGTCATGGTGACGTTTTATCATAGTTGCTTGCGGTCTCCAGTTCAACAAGTGATCTTGTCTTCTCGATGACCGAGCTCATCATGCGTTTCTGAAGCTGTAATTCTTGTTGCATCATGAAAAGGAAAATTAAAAATAAAAAACTTTGAAATCTCTCATCTTGATGTCGAGAATCATGTTCATCGCTAGTCGGTACCAGTGTCATGGTTGCTACTTATCTGCGGGGGCAAGCTTTCTATGAGTCATCAGTCTATGCATTAGATCAAGAAGGGGTCTGGAGATGATCTTGTGTAAGAAAACGAAGGCAGATTCAGACTGAACACAAAGGAAAATTTGACATAATAGATGGTCTTCGTTGCCCTTATTTTCTCTGCCATGCAAGAAAGTTTGTAGACCAAATGATTTTATACATAAAATATCAGATTTTAGATTTATGTCGTCAATCAATCAGACCATGCCCGACAAACTCTCATGGCTACATTTCTTGCATCATGAATTACAAATTCAACAAAATTAATAGCCAGGGAACAGGTGTGTATCATACACCTCAACACTTTTCCTAATCCAAGCAAAAACTCATGCACTACCTGTGCAAAAACACTTTTCCTGAATTGTCATCTGAATATTAGCAGGTGAGTTTTTATCTGAGACTGTAAATTCTAATATTTTACTGCAATTTAAAGGATTACAATAAAGAAAATCTACCTTTGCGTCTTCTGATGCAATCTAGCTCTTTTTCTCACCTTTGTTTCTAGTCATCAACTTCATATGAAGCTCTTAGACGTAAGCTACAATATTAATATTGTTTATCCATTTTACTTGTGGTGACATCTCCTGCTTATATCAAGTTTGGCTTAGAAATTAGGTATACTTAATTTCCAACAGGTAGATGAATCTGCTTAAACTCAATATGTCATTGTAGTTAAATGTGTCTTGTGTGAGCCAATATGTCTGTGGATCAGTGGATGTGCTAATACCTGATCAATGTTCAACTGGCTGTATTTTATGCTTGTTTGTTTACGTTTGATCTCTAACTGGAAATTGCCTGCAAGAACAGAGGTGCGGGCAGGTGGAGATAAGTTTGGAAAGCACTTCGAAGTTACAACCTATGGAGAATCTCATGGAGGAGGTGTCGGTTGTGTAATTAGTGGATGCCCACCCAGAATTCCTCTTTCTGAAGAAGATTTGCAATTCGAACTCGACAGAAGGTCTTACGCTATATAGGCAGCCAGTCATTTCTTCACATGTATTTTGTTTATAACTAATTTTGCATTTTGTGTAACTAGGTGTATATTTGTTTAACATTTGTGGTTCAATCTCCAGGAGACCAGGACAGAGCAGGATAACTACACCAAGGAAGGAAACCGATACATGTCGAATTCTTTCAGGAATCCATGAAGGTAAGTTACAGTTTCTCAATCATTGTTTCGTTAATTTCCTCATTAGTTCTTTTAACAGTGTATCCTTCTCATGAGCATGCTCTAATTTGTTGATGTGAGAACTTTTACTGCAGGAATGACCACTGGAACTTCAATTTGCGTGTTTGTACCAAATACAGATCAAAGAGGACATGTGAGTGCCTGTGATAACAAAACTTTGATATTCTAACACAGGAATAATTTAGTCAACGTCCCAAAGTTTCATGAGTACCATTGCTTCCTGGTTCTTATAATAAGCCATAAAATTACACACAAACCTAACTCATCGTTAAATAACCCCGTCTGATGTTGAAAGCCATGTTGATATTTTCTTCAGCTTCTGACTGTCTCATACTTGGTCTTTTGTAGGACTATAGTGAAATGTCATTAGCATATAGGCCTTCTCATGCAGATGCAACATATGATTTCAAGTATGGTTTGAGAGCGATACAGGTATCATATGTTCCTTCCTGTTTTTATCTTATCTTTTGGTAGTCCTAGAATTCAGTCTATGTTATATGAGTTTATTACTGACATGTGAAAGATCTAATTTCATACAATGATGTTAATCATCAAATTTCCATAATTGAAGTTATCCTGATATGGAATTGTAGGGAGGCGGCAGATCATCAGCCAGAGAAACTATTGGAAGAGTTGCTGCTGGAGCTGTTGCAAAAAAGGTTCTTAATATGTATATGGGAACTGAGGTGGGTTATGTGTCATCTTGTTTTCACTAGTTTTTAGATGATTACCAAAGTATGCTGTCCTTGCATGGATAACCTTCACCTGTGATCCTCTGATCTCACACGTGCTTATTTAACATAATTTTGAATTTTTGGTATGTATACGAACTTAAGTCATATTTTAGCCTGAAACATATTGTCTGATTGACATACTCATGCATGCTGGTGATGTAATAGCATTTTTTCCCCATATATTGTCAAAACATACACATAGATTTACCTTATTTTAATATCTTTGTTCTCACATACTGAGCCTATACATTGGTCTGCTAGGAATATGTTCATAATATGTTGACCGTGCACTGAAAGAATGGCTGAATTAGAGTATAAATGAATCATGTGATATGTGCTTCCAGTTTTGGACATCATTTTATGATTGATAATGTTTGTTCCATAAGGAGCCATTATGTAGATAGAATTCATTAGTTCTTGGCTGATGAAAAAATGTGGTCATAATCAAGGTTCTAAATATCTTACCATATCGGTGTATCGAGTCTTGTTCGGTACGGTACAGTATGGCATACCGAGTGCCGAGTGGTACACCTAAAATAGGTATAAAATCCTCCAAAAATACCTGAAAATAGAAGAAAAAAAAAGTTAGGATAGGGTTTTTAAGTTAGAAATAAATATACATTTAGTATAGTTTTAGCAAAACTAATGTAAATTAGGTAAGAATAGTGCTACATATTTTTTTTGGGCTTTGAGGAGTAGCCTTGTGCAAGGTTCGCAATTTCTGTCTGTTTCGGATCTTCCCTTCGTTAATATTGAATTATTTATAGAAAAATTATTTGACTTATTAGATTATTTTGTATACAACTCAAATTTTAAGATTCAAATGAATTAAGTAATCACATGTGTAGATATATCTGATTCTATCACCAAAATTAATGATAGGCCTCCACGGGTGATGAATCAGGGTCCTCAATCCTATGTATCTCTATATCAATATGATATGTTTATCGGACTCAATCTTGAAATTGATCTGACGACATAGTGTATTGATACACCGTATGCCATTGGTGCATCAATAAAGTGATGATTATAGGTTGATCGTTATAGATCACATGTGTCCGAGGTGGCTTCTGAGGCATGTATTGGTGGATGCCAGAACTTCTATTTTCACTACTGATCTACTGCTCTGTATCATACCGTTGCTTGGATAAGTATGACCAACTATCACCGTATTACTGTTGGCCGTAAGATTCTCCATAATACGATGACTGTGAATACGATGAGCTTCATTTTGTGTCTATGTCGTGTAGGCTCTGTCGAATCTACTGAAAATCATCCACTGGTTTATCCTTAATCCTCTCAAATTAGCCTCCTAAATTTGATCCAATCTACAAATTGAGAGTGAAAATGTGAGAATAAGAGAGAGACTATGAGTAAAAATGAGTTTGAGAGAGTTTAAGAAAGTGTGAGAATGAAATGGATTAAAATAAGAAGGAGGAAAGGGTTTAAAAACCCTTGAGGAGGCCTCCAACAGACAAATTGATCGTTGGAACACTGTTACTATTCGGTAACGGTCGGTTTCGACTATTACCTGCTAGTACAAGTTAGTAACGATCAAAATTGACCAGTACTGATCGGTACAGGTCGATAAGGATCGAAATTTCGACCGTTACCGCTCGATACAGCCCCGTATCGCCTAATACAGAGTCAAATACCTGATACCACCTGGTGCGGGTGGTCCGCGTGCCGGATTGCTGGCGGACCGGTATGTATCGGGTGGTATCACTTTGTAGTTGCAGATAAAAGTATATAAGGTGCACTTTGATGCTTGTACGAGTAGTTGGGATCTATTTCGTAGAACCCTTTCCACCATTATTTTTCCATGTCTGAGGGTCTCTATTCATGATATCGTCATGTAACTCAGTTATGTGTACACGAACTGGCTGCATAGCAGTCTACTTGTAGTGATCCTTAGCTAAAAATAGCTAATGCAAGATTTTCAATTAGTTCTTTGTTTAGCTCTACATCTGTTTAACATCACTTTTGTTCCACTGCAGATTTTAGCATATGTTTCTCAAGTGCATAAAGTCATGCTTCCTGAAGGAGTGGTTGATAATGAGACTGTGACCCTTGATCAGGTTTGTTATTGCTCAATTATTTGAAATACTATTCCCATTTCCTCTAATTGTATTATGGTAAATTGACTAGATTTTTGCTGAAAACTTACCAGATCGAGAGTAACATCGTTAGATGTCCAGATCCAGAATATGCTCAGAAAATGATTGAGGCCATTGATGCTGTGCGAGTTAAGGGGGACTCCGTTGGTGGCATTGTGACTTGCATTGCAAGAAATGTTCCACGTGTAATTGCTTCACCTGATTCAACTTTCTTATTCTAATCATATAGCTTCTTCTCGGTGATAATCTATAATATTGTGCAATGAATTGGATTAATGGAATAACTAACTAGCTGGAAATCTTGTTCTCGTATACTCTGAAAACATTCTAAACCGCAACCACTGTAATCAGGGACTTGGGTGTCCGGTCTTTGATAAACTGGAAGCTGATTTGGGAAAAGCTATGTTGTCTCTGCCTGCAACCAAAGGATTTGAAATTGGCAGTGGATTTGCTGGTAGGTACATGTAGACAGGTAGCTTTTCTATTGTTTTTCATACCCACCTGTGTTTTGATCATTATTTTCATGATTCATCTTGTAGTTCTTTAGACTTTTTCTACTCTGTTATCAACTCAAAAACTATATTTAGGAACTTTTATGACTGGGAGTGAGCATAATGATGAGTTCTACATGGACGAGCATGGTAATGTGCGAACAAGAACAAATCGATCAGGCGGGATACAGGTTTGTCTTTTCTTTCTGTGGTTAATCTGCAGTGTAATGGTGTTTGGCATTAAAAGTTCAGGTCTTTATGAAATATGATGATTCCTCTGAACAGGGAGGGATATCCAATGGAGAAACCATATATATGAGAATAGCTTTTAAACCAACATCTACGATCGGGGTAAGCTGGTTTTAGTTTGTGCAAATTACATGCCATGCATATCCTCTGATCTCCATTGAACAAAAATGGAAGGAAAAGATTACTGCGTTTTTTTTTTCTGGTCAAATGGTTGAAGCAGTGATGCTTTGATGATTAAACCACCTCATCTTCTCCGTGGAAAACATAATTCATTTGACGACATTAAATGGAACAACACCTTGGCATAGTATATGCATCTTATTGTGATTTATTTATTTCATCAGAAAAAGCAGAAGACAGTAACAAGAGACCGACAAGAGACTGATCTTATAGCAAGAGGCCGCCACGATCCTTGTGTGGTCCCTCGAGGTCTGTGTTCATTTCCAATATTTCCTTTATCGGGTTTGCTGTACCTCTGAAAAATAACACTGAGAACTAATTTACTGTTTACAGCCGTTCCAATGGTGGAAGCCATGGTAGCTCTGGTGCTGTTGGATCAACTGATGTCACAAACAGCACAATGTGGATTGTTTCCTGTTAATCCAGCCCTCCAGCAACAAATTGCTCCAGATCCAAACGGAACCTTGCTCACCCCAAAGCTGGTTTAATTGTGAGGAGGTTGATCTTGGTGGAGCTAAAGTGTGTGATTGAGGTTCCATTTTTCTGATTTGGAATAGTTGGTAATAAATGTTTGCCCTTGTTCTAAGGGCACCGATTTCCAACGGTGGTGCCCTCAGTACGGGTGACCTACCGATAATTATCATGCACAATGTCTTAGTTTGGATGTCTCCTTAAAAAGAATGTAGCATATTTTGCAAAGTTCAACCTGATGGGTATTATTTACGGTTCATGTTGGACGACTATTATGGTTTTAGGCAAAATGATTGCCTTGTAATATCTCTCTCACGAGACAAACGTAGCGCTTAGTCTTTGGTGAAAAGCAAAATCATTTTTGTATCATTCATTATTCTTAGTTCTTCCGATACAGATTGGTGGTGGTGGGTATCAGAGTAAATTTTGGTATCATTATGCTGCTTATTTACTGACGATCTGGTGTTTCTAATAGATGCCAATCTAAAAGCAGTAGCTGTGGTCGACAAGAGAAGTGTGGAAGCCCTACCGGTGAAGTGATGTGTCCCCTACCCCCCCAACGAGAGGACAAATGTGTTTTGTCTGCTTGCGTTCCTGCAGAGGTTCGCTTATCCTCCTCTCGGCCTTCATTACTGTACATCTTCCTTCCGAGTGGAGCTTCTGGTATGCTTGTTCTTTCTTTCTCTAAGAAGAGTTCCATATTCGCACTAACAAAGAAAAAACTTGGTTTGATACAGTGATGATGCAACTGCAAGAAGACTCCTATAAAAGACCCAAGATGTTGTTGACTTTTCGAGAGAAAACTTGCAATAAATCAGCAAAGGTAGTAGTAGTAGTGCATGAAGCATGGGGGTTGCTAACAGTAGCTACCATAGTAAAGGAAGAGCAGTGTCCTCCTGCTCTTCAGTTCTTGGAAGGTGTCGTTCCTTCCCTTTGAAGACCTAAACATGGGTTCATTCAACATCTATGTGGCAGATGAAAGATCAGATGAGATTGGCATTCCAAGAACAGAAGCAAATATGGCCGAAAGAGTCTTAAGAAACAGTGACACCAGTCCTCCCATGCATTGCGTGGCAAATGAGGAGTTACAACTGAGGGGTGATAAGTAGAGCGAGCAAACAAAGATCCTCTTGTGATCTAACCACCAAAAAGATTCCCATTTCATTCTTAGAAATGGAGTGATCTATCTATAACACAACAACAGGATTGCTTGATGATGAAGTGTAAACATAGAGAGAGCATCTACCAAGTGTTACAGAATTTGTTGTGACCTGTGGGGAGCAATGCTATAGTTGTAATTGAATGTGAAAGAACAGGACAGAACCCAACAGAAGAGAACACAAGAGGTGACCGCTGCCTGCTGCATGGCCTACGACTTGCTTGTGGACTTTGGGATGGGTTGCTTGAAGGCGACGGTGGGAGCTATTCGGCAACTCCTCCTCTCGTGCTCCAGCACGAGCTCCCCTGCAAACCAATCCAGCTTCTCCATGTTGCTCTGCTCCCTCGTCATCTTCCCACCAAACAGCACCGACTCCACGTTCTTCTGCCTCAGCATCGCTTCCGCTGCCTCCAACAGCAGCTTCACGTTGCCCGGGCTTGCGTCGTGGTCCACCTCTTCCACACTGCATCGCCCCATGCTCGAGATATCCGCCTGTGATCCAACAAACCCATCACCGATCAGTATCCGCAAAGTGTTTGTCGAAATGCAGGATGCTGGTTATTGCGCTTCGGCGGCCGTTCTCGGACGCGCAGAATGACCACGGGAACAATGACCTGAGAGGGTGGAACGGAGAGGCAAAGACTGGAAGAACGACCCTGAGAGGACGAGTACTGCTTGCGACATGAGGAACAGACACTATAAGCCAAGAAGAGGCAGTACCAGTGCCGAGGCTAATGCACATGCCCGTTCATCATGTGCTCCCACAGTCGCAGCGGCAGCAGCTGCGGCTTGCCAAAGCTAAGCACTGCGGGCCGATAAGACAACTCACCTCCTTCCCCATCCCTCACAACCACAGAGGATGAGGAAGAACACGGCGTTTTTGCCAAAGTGGAGGAGATGATGATGATGATTACGACGACGACGAATTCTGTCTGCCCGGAGATTCGCGCACGTTATCCGTTCCGCCACCAGGCGCTCGTTAACGGCATGGGAAGGGAATGGAGGTCGGGCGCACGTACCTGGACGCGGAGGTAGTTGGAGTTCCGGCACTGGCCGAAGGCAAGCGCGACGGCGTGGTCCACGAGGTCGGCGGCGCCGTTGGCGGCGATCCGCGCGATGGGCTGGGCCCACTCCCTGGGGCCCCAACGCCGGAGCTTGCGGTATTCGGTCTCCGCCACGACTGGGGTGGCCCCGCCGCCTGCTTCTCCACAGCCGAGCGAGAGCATCATGAGGTCCTCCACTCCCCGGACGAAGGGGAACTCCTGTTTGTTGTGGAGGACGTGCGTGATGGCCGCTGCCGCCGGGTTGCTCATTGCAAGCCCGCCGTCCACACCGACGCAGGCGGTGGCCCCGTCCACTGAAGTGATCTCCGCCGGCTCGAACCGCCCCAGCTCAGCCCACGTCGCCCGGCAGACCTCCCACAGCCGGAAGTCGAAGCTCTCGCTCTCCAGGGCGTCGGCGCGCGAGAACACGAGCGGCGCGGAGCTCCTCAGGTCGTAGCACGGGATCAGCACCGGTTTCACCGTGTCCTTTAGAGTCAGGCTCTCGCCAAAAGCTTCCTTCATCGCCTTCTCCATCGCCGCCGTCGTCGTCGACCCTCCGCCGCCCGGGAAGAGGCAACGGACGAACAAGCCGGGGGAGGAGGAAGAGGAAGGCGGCGTCTTTTTGAACAAGCGCTTGCCGCGGTCGGCGAGGAAGCGCCAGGTGTCCTCGCCACGGAAGAGGGGGCGAGCACCATCGCGGGTGGCGAACAGCATGGCGGCGAAGACGCCCCCGATGCCAGTGCCGGCGGCAACGTCAAAGTAGTCCGATATTCGTGCGACGGGGTCCCCGGACTTGGTCCTGATGGCCTGCTCGAGGTAGGCAAGGGCCTTCCCGGGGAGGATGCCGCGCATCCCGCAGCCACCACCGCCGTCGATACAGAGCACGCACACCTTGCCCCTCTGGTTCTTGAAGGAGGACGCCTCGGCCGGCGCTGTGGCGGCTAGAGGAGGAACCCTTGTGGACCAGAGCTCGGGGTCGTCGTAGCCAAAAAGGAACTTGCTTTCCAGAATCGAGAAGATCTCGTAGCTTAGCTTATCGGTGTCGATGCTCGGATCCTCCGCCACTGTGGCTGCCTCCTCCCCGGACCTGTTCCTCCTCTGGTGCATCGGCACCAGCATCTGCTCCTCCACCTCCGCCGCCATCTCCTCCTCTGTCTTCTCTTCTCTACAGAAGGGATCGATCAACTCCAAAGAAGGGAGCGGGGACGACCTCAAAACTGCAGATTGCGAACCGTTGCAACCGACCGAACCGGACCCCGTTCCTCTCCTTTACACAACTACACGCGGTCCATTGGTCCTCTCGCTACCGGCGCCTCTCTCTTCCACATACTTTCGCATGAAAAGGTTTGAACTCGGACGGAGAGGGAGCGAGATGGACGGCCTCTGTACCAATCATGGAAGACATCTGATACAGTCACTGCTCTTTGATCGGCTTCTCCTCTCCTTTTTTCCTCAAACCACGCGAGAAAAAGATGATGGCTTGCTTGTTTGTCTCTTCGATTGCTTCCTCCCGCTCTTCTCCAGGTTTATGTTGTGGGCTTCAATGATGAGGGGATGTTACCGTGACTCATCCAGTGCATTTGTGGGTGGTTTACAGTGACAGGGAGAAGAACGTCCATGCTCGATTCATCATCATTGATCGCATAATTACTGCGAATAAACAAGTCCAGGCAACTCGGCATTGACGGGAGAGGTTGCGGCGTCATCGTCGAGATGGAGGAGGCGACAGCGGTGGACCGATGGATTCTGCATGGATTCCAAAGGTCGTATGAGTTGCCTCCAGAGTAACATCATCATTTGGAGCCATCTCCAGTGATGATAACCGATCTTGAACTCCATTAACGTGGATAAGATGGTTTGCGGTGAGCGAGGTGGTGAGCCTTCTGCTGCTGCGCGCAACATGGTCTGCTTTTTCTGTTACTCTAAACCAGTGGGCATCATACCCAAAAATTCATGGTTGCTTGGAACCGAGTTCTCAATCTGCTACATAAATTTCGGAAGCATGACGGAGTTTCCTCGTGGAGAACATCAATGGCACACATAAATTCCGTCTTATTTATGAGCTGAAGGTGTTCGACGAATTGACGATGGTAGATGCTGGCTGTAAATAACATTTTGGTTGGGACTTCGAAGCTCGAAAGTGATCTCAGAGATCAATGAGTGCAGCAGACAGAGTCAAAATTCATCTCCGTGTTCTGCACTCGCCATATTGCACCGACAAACAAGCGGGATTCTGTTGGTCGTCTTCTTGTGTTGGGTCCATGTCAGATAACAGCGCAGAATATTGCAGGTAGGCTAATCCCGCCGACGTAGAAGCACTCCAAAACCCTACACCGCCACCTCCCCGACCAACTGCTTCCGTTACGGTGGATACATGCATCGAGTCACTCGTGCCTGCAACCTGTTTGCTTTGTTGCTGCTTCTCGTTGACAGTTGCTGGTTTCATGTGCGGTAAGTAGTCGCAGGCCATGAACGGTTGAGCCTTGATGAGGATAGTAATTATGATAAGACTCGGCTGACGTCAGCCGACACCTCGCGCCTCGATTGGCACGACGGCACTCGGCCAACCGAACCAGAACACCGACCGAGGCACATTAACGCCTACGCAGGCGCGGTTCTACACGCCACATCAACCCCCATGTCAAACGCTATCAGCCTGCCTCTTGCAGGCGGGCACATCAAACAACAGTAAGCTTCCATATAAATACCCTCTCGTTCATAAGAGAAGGGGAGGCGGGACACACAAACGCTTCTTCCTCCGAAACCCCATCCACATCTTCTGCTAACTTGATCGTCGGAGGGGTCGGGCCGAGCGCCCCGGCCCGACCTTTGTGCAGGTGCGAAGCCGAGGGTCCCAACCGGACGTGCGGACGAGGAGTTCCTGCCTAGAGGACACGGCGACCTCGTCCCGATCGGACCATCTCACCGGACTGACCCCGCGGGCTCGAGGGACGCCCCGGGGTGATCCCCGTCGCCCAGACCCGAACCGAGCCGCGTCAGCCCCGAGGCCACGGCTCAAGGCTGTTTCCCACAACAGAATGGCGCTAGAAGGAGGGCCCGGAATGTCGGGTGATCACCCGAGCGGCTCAGATGAGCCCACGGCTGAGAGGTCACACCCGACTGAAGCCTCGAGGGAATATCCCCCGCACGGAGATCATCGTGACGAACACCCCGCCATGACCTCCGAACGATATTGGCGAATATTCAACGACTCGAGCTTGTCGCCGCCCGACGGCGCCCCAGCCGACTCAACACCTGTGTCACCCGAGGCCTTTCAGGACCTTGCCCGTCAAGTCCGAGCTCTGATGGAAATGGTGCAAACCATTATCCCGCTCGTTTCTCATCCGGCGCACCCGTCCGCGATCGAACCACTGCGACAACGCGAGGCGCCCATTCGGGCCCACGTGACACTACCAGAGCCCCCCACTTCGCCTGGGGTCCGACCGGACCCACTCGGGGATCCAGTGATGGCAAGCCCGAGCGATCGCCCAGAACCCGAGGCACTCTCTTCGAACTCCCTGCGGGCCCAATTGCGCTTCGTCAGCCAGCGACTCGACGAGGTGCGGGAAGAGGTTCGCAGGTCCAATAGAGAGCTTGGGGAGGACGCACACTGAGGGTCTCCCTTCTCACCCGAGATACGGGATCTGACAGTGCCCTCGGACTTCCAGCTCCCCTCTCTAGAAGCTTACCATGGCTCCACTGACCCATAGGACCATGTAGCTACTTTTCACGCCCAAATAGCGCTATACGGAACCTCTGATGCCCTGATGTGCAGAGCGTTTCCTACCACTCTAAGAGGGCCGGCCCACGCGTGGTATGGCGGCTTGAAGATCGGAACGATTGCTTCCTTCAGCCAGCTCACCAATGACTTCGAGCTCCACTTCGTAGCCTATGCACGGCCAAAGCCCTCCGCGGCACTGCTCATCGAGCTCAAACAAAGGGAAGATGAGCCCCTCTCACACTTTTGTGGATCGCTTTGCCACGCAAATCCGGGGCTTGCCGGACACTCACCCCTCTCTGTTAGTGCAGGCGTTTGTGATAGGCCTGCGACCTTCCAGATTCCTCTAGTCCCTCGCGGAGCGACCTCCCACTACGGTGCCAAAGATGCTCCAGCGGGCTAACCGGTACATCGCAGTCAAGGCCTGGGCGACCGTGAAGAGAAGGGACGACCTCCGACCACGGGCTCCATAAGAGAGGCCATGCACCCGCGATAGCTACCAGATGTAGTCCTCATGGAAAGAAATCCAAGCCCTGCCTTAGTCTCTTCTGAGTGAAGGTTCAGTATCTACCTGACCCCCTCTTAGCTCAAGGTTGGCCCCGGCTTAAACCCTTCTGAATCTACACGGCTCGGCCGTAGACAGTCCGAATCCACCTCAGCACGGCCTGCCCGCCCGAGCCGTGTCCCTCGGCTTGAGCAGTGCCCTTACCGAGTCCACCTCAGCGCGGCCTGCCCGCTTGAGTCACATCCCTCGGACATAGACAGCCCGAGTCCACCTCAGCGCGGCCTGCCCGCTTGAGCCATGTCCCTCAGCTTGGGCAGTGCCCTTGCCGAGTCCACCTCAGCGCGGCCTGCCCACCTAAGTCACGTCCCTCGGACATAGACTGCCCGAGTCCACCTCAGCGCGGCCTGCCCGCCTGAGTCACATCCTTTGGCCTTTATCAGAGCCCCTCGGCCGTAGACTGTCGAGCTCCCCTCAGAGTGGTCTTCCCGTCCGAGCCTCATCCCTCGGCCGTAGACTGCCGAGCTCCCCTCAGGGCGGCCTTCCCGTCCGAGCCTCATCCCTCGGCCGTAGACTGCCGAGCTCTCCTCAGGGCGGCCTTCCCGTCCGAGCCTCATCCCTCGGTCGTAGATTGCCAAGCTCCCCTCAGGGCAGCCTTCCCGTCTGAGCCTCATCCCTTGGCCATAGACTGCCGAGCTCCCCTCAAAGCGGCCTTCCCCTTCGAGCCTCATCCCTCGGCCGCATGACGCCCGAGACCACGCCTACGCGGTCTGCCCGTCTACGTCGTGCTACTCGGCCACATGACGCTCGAGACCACGCCTGCGCGGTCTGCTCGCCTACATCGTGCTCCTCGACCGCATGATGCCCGAGACCACGCTTGCGCGGCTAGCCCGCCTGCTTCGTGCTCCTCGGCTCCATGCTTCCCGAGACACACCTGCGCGGTCAGCCCGCCTGCGTCGTGCTCCTCAACTCCATGTTCCCGAGACACACCTGCGCGGCCAGCCCGCCTGCGTCGTGCTCCTCGGCGTCATCTTCCCGAGACACACCTGCGCGGTCTGCCCGCCTGTGTCGTGCTACTCGGCCGCATGATGCCCGAGACCACACCTGCGCGGCCTGCCCGCCTGCATCGTGCTCCTCGGCCCCATGCTCCCCGAGACACACTTGCGCGGCCAGCTCGCCTACGTCGTGCTTCTCGACTCCATGTTCCCGAGACACACCTGCGAGGCCAGCCCGCCTGCGTCGTGCTCCTCGGCGTCATTTTCCCCGAGACACGCCTACGCGGCTAGCCCGCCTGCGTCGTGCTCCTCGGCCCCATGCTCCCCGAGACA